TATTCCCATGTTGGTATCTAATTTTCTTTCTTTACTCCACTACTGAGTATGTGGCTTCTTCTAAGTTAATATTTTTAAAGCTCTGTTTCTTTGTCTATTTAGAATAATGAATTGGACTCTAAACTTAAAACTCTGAATTTTTTATCAAGTAGAGAAATTTTGCCTAAACTATTGAAAGTATAAAATTAATGCCTTATTAATGTCTGTAATCTTCTTTGTCTGGAGTAAATAAACATTGTTCCCATTTCAGGATTTGGAAATGAAAAGGTGTGATTGAGAGGAGGAGGCAAACATAGATGTAGGAGAGTTTTCCAGTCTAGTGTAGAAACGGCTCTAAAGCACCATCAGAGGCTGCAGAGTAGAACAAAACCTTTAGGAAGTCTTTAGAATAAAGCTCTTTAACGAGAGAAATCAAAGTTCATTGAGGGCATCATCTGTACTTGATACTTAGAAACCTAAAATTTTCCTAATTGATTATTTCTAAGGATAGAAAGAGTCTGAATCCTTGGTTAGTTTCACAGTAAATATCTGTTTACCATTGTTAAATGTGTTATAAATAAAATACTTTTTTCCTTAATGTAATCTTAAAATTTAAGATCGCAGTAGTTCCATTATTCACAGCATGCGCTCTTATCCTGTCCCCCTCCTCTCCCTCCCAAGTCCAATGAAGTATGTCTTTGTTTCTACACTATTACCATTAATGAAGTTTTTCATGGGGAAAGAAATTTTTACTATGGACCGAAATAGGGTTTTTGTTTTTTGGTTTTTTTTTTAAACTGGGTTTTAATTACCTCCTATTCTAATAAATTTAGAGCTTTTATATAGACATCAGTTTATTGTGCCAAGCCCAGTTGCCCCTAGAGGGAGTATAAATTTAGGTAAAGGAGCCAGGGGATAAACAAGTGTTGAAGGAGAAGGGGTGAGAGAAAAGGAAAACTTTATCTTGGCTCTACATTACTAAATCATGGTCTTTGATTAGTCTCTCTAGTTTATCACTACACGTCTGTCTTTTCTTCTTTCAGCCCTGCACTTCTAGATCCTTTGCCTGTATTAACTTGCTTCAGATTGTAAGCCTAACTTATACTTACACTACCCCAAGTATGTGAACTTTCCCCCAGAACTCTGAGCTCTCTTTCTTATAGTTTGTGTCTTATTTTCCAGTAATTCTTATTTATTTATTATAATGCTTGTTACTTATCTCTCCTAGATTTTTTGGTTTTTTGCATGTTTCCCACATATCCTTTGCTCACATTTTTGCTGTAGGAAAGTTGAAATGAGTGAAAATAATTTTCAGCCATCTTCACATTATTAATAGCAGTTCCTCTCTGTTTACATATATTTAAAAGTTACAGAGAGCCATTTAAATTCTTGTTTGCTGCAAACACCAATCCATGTGCACCTTTGAATCAGCAGAGTAGATATTCTTTCTGTTGTACAATGGGAAGACAGACTTTTAAGACCTTGCCTTAATTGTAGTGCCAGGCTTCACAGAAATTTAGAGCATGAGGAAACCCAATGAAGATTTTAGAGGAAATTAAGGTTCATTTATAAAAAGTTATTTTTCTGAGATCACCAAATTAAATAAGTTGTAGGTTAGAACTCAAATTTTCTAACTCCTAATATACTATTTTTTCATACTTTTTCTTCTCCCAAGATAAAAAGCTTTTATGCTGCTGTAAAACGGCAGTGTTTTTCCTCAATATCTCACTTTGGGTTGGAAGTAGAAGGTAAGCATATAATGTAGCTGCCACATTAGTTCTCAAACAAGTTGGTCATTTATATACAACAAGTTGTATATTTATTGTATTCTTAACTATTCTGTGATTTAAAAATAAGTTGAAGGTAATAATCACCAAAAGTCTTCTCATACTTTCCCCATCTTCTCTTTTTACTGTTTAGTCATTCAAAAGTAGGAAATTTAAGTAAAGAATATTAAAGAATAAATTCAGCTTATATGTATAACAAAATTTTGAATAATCAGTAGATTCAGAAATTAAATCTTAAAATTAATGGTTATTTCCTTTTAAGTAACCCTTACTGAAAATTTTTCTGACATGTTTTCTTCTTAAATGAGTTGGGTTTTTTGGCCTCTTAAAAGTCTTTTGCTGCTTCAGAGTTATTCTGTTCATCTGTTGATTTTTAATTTAATATTATTTAATAGTTTAAATATTAGGATAGTAGATTTGACTGAATATATTGGTTTCAGAATGTATTTTAGAAGCTTGTGTTTTTAGTGAACCCCAATTTAAAGGTTATTGCTTTCAGAAAGAAAAAAATTGGTTAATTGTGGCTTCTGGCTACTTAAAGAGTTTAGAGAATAGAGTTGTCTTGTATACAGTCTTTTATTTAGTATTCTGGTGGAGGAGAATCCTAATAATTTTATAGTTAACAGTATTCTGTTAGCAGCCTGATAACCAAAACTCTGTCAAAGAAATCAGACCTAGGAGGTGAAGGATCTAGGGAGTATTTTTTAAGTTGAGGCTATTTTTTTTAAGTTGATTCTAGAACAGTAAGTTGTGGCTAGTAGGGTGAAAATAATCATTACCCTCTCTTAAAAGATTACTATCACTGCCCTTGAGAAAAGTGGGCATTGCAAGCTGTAACTCAGCCTGCCTCTTATGTCAGCCTCAGCGGAAAGAGATTCTCTTTTTCTGTAATATGTGCCTACTTTTAACATACTGAGTTTAACACAATTTCAAAAATACCTATAAAATACACCTTTCTGGCGCTTAGTTAGTCATTGTGCATAATTTATCTTTACTCTGAAATCTCATAATTGGGCCCTAGATTTCAGAGTGATTTTAAAACTTAGGAAAGCCACTATAGCTCAGAAAATATATTTATGAAAATGAAGGGAAAAGGTGTAAAATTTCAATGTAAGTAAGTACCTTGCTGGTAACATGAGAATTCATAAAATAAAAGCAGTCTCAATGTTTTATTTCACATCGAATGACAGAGGATAGATACTATAAAGCCAGAGGAATTAAAAAGGGACACTGAGAAAATGGCGTGCTTGTATATGTCTAAATATATATTCATTTACGTGCTTTGTCAGAGGCCAAAATTTAGGAAGAAATTTGACTTTCTGGTGGTTTGTGGAGAGAGCTGATCAGAGGCTGCTTCTTGGCTAAGTTTCTGTCTGCATAGGCTGTTAACAATTGTTTCTCTGGCAGCAGATCTTGTTCATCAGGATTGCATCATTTCTGGGAGAATGGCCAAGGTCCACAGCCACAGTACAAAGACTGTCTGAAGCATATGAGGCCTGTTCTTTTTCTGAAGCGGCACTCCTCTTCCTGCCAGTGCTCTTCACAGGATTACTGAAGCAGACTTGTTCTGAATTTCTTTCATCGGATTGGCTGTTTATTGGACTCTTGTCTCCCAGCTGCTTCCGGCTCACCTGGCTGATGCAATTTCTTTTTCTGAAATCTCTGTTGGAGTTGTTCTTAAAACACTTATTGTCTGTCTTCTCTGAGAGTGACCTGACAGATCACACGGGTCTTGTGCTTTCAGCAAGTCATGTAGAGAAGAGACTGTCAGAATGACAAATACAGAGACTATTGACCATTTCTGAACCCAATTAAAAAGACAGGAGTAATTATAAACCATTTCTGGCATGTTCTTAATAGCCTTTTCCTTAGAAACTGTATGTATTAATAAATGGTGACTTCTCAAAGAGTACTCAGGACTGGGAGACAAGCTGGTTGTGTTTGAGTCTAAGAATTTATTACTGTTCCTGGGGGTTCTGGTGGAGTGTTCTGATTGTAGTTAAATTGAAATTCCAAAGCATTCATTTTCCCCCTGCTGTATACTCATGTATTTATTTCTGTTTTTACTCCTGTCATTTTTTTTCTTTTTTATTTGTTGTTGCTAAAGGAGTGTTTTTCTTCCTTGATGTAATTTCTTCCTTTTGTTTACTATTACCCTTATGCCTTTCATTTTTATGACTTCCCTGGTGGCTCAGAGGTTAAAGCGTCTGCCTGCAACGCAGGAGACCTGGGTTCAATCCCTGGGTCAGGAAGATCCTCTGGAGAAGGAAATGGTAACCCACTCCAGTACTCTTGCCTAGAAAATCCCATGGACGGAGGAGCGTGACAGACTACAGTCCATGGGATTGCAAAGAGTCGGACATGACTGAGCGACTTCACTTCACCCTCATGCCTTTCATTTGTATAGTTCTGAGTATGGTCTTCTTAAATGGTTTCTAAAGAAATAGTTTATTTTCCAGTTTTTAATAAAGTTAGAAATCCATAAGATATCAGCATAAAGAACATTTACTCTACTGCTTGGTACTGGAATCCCTCAAACAACTATTTTCACATATATGATATATTAACACTTCAGATACTGATACCCTTTTCAGGCTACTGTTAAATTGACTTTGTCCCCCTCCCCAAAATCATGGGTCATCACCCGTTTTCCTTTTCCTTTTAGAATGTAGAAAGCAAATTAAAGCTCTATTTTCTACATGTCTTCCATTGTGTAGTTGAGAAATTGACTCTTGTCATTCTTTCTGTAGTAGGATAAGAGGATGGAGAGATGTGTTGGGGGAAGAAAAGAGTAATATGAGCATTAATAGATGATGGTGAGTCCTTGTCTAACTGGAGAATTACATGAACTTGATTAAAGAAAAGCCTCTGAATTTAGGAATGGGTCGGGAGAGAAGCACCTTCTCAGAGAAAAAGAATGAATCCTTTGGGAAATGGAAGGGAATTCTAATTGGATGGGAAGAAAAGGATCACCCAGAGACAGTGCTTACCACTTCTTAACTCAAAGACAATTGCCTTTTCTACCTTTTATGTAGGTTCTAGGTTTACCAAAAAATAATGTAAGAAGGTTAAAGGACAAAGATAAAGTACTAAATGGAACATAGTATGGTAAACAAGGCAGAATACAGAAGTGAAACAAAATTGCCGTTAAAATATTATTTATCTAGAATTCCATGCTGTGTGTCCATCTTTGTTATTTCTATCTATACTAATTCGTTTCTCAACTTTTTCTAGGTCTTCACAGCTACTGGCAGATAATTTTGGGGGACTTCATATTCAGAGGTCTATAAAAAGGTGATTGAGCCAAGTAAATTCCTTTGTTTTAACTTTTGCACTTTAATGAATACTAAAACTTTAATTTTTATATAATGGTGATCATAATTTATTCAGCAAATACTCAAAAATCTTTGTGCCAGGAAATATTCTCAAATACTGTTCTAGACTTTGGAACTATAGCAGAGGATAAATCACAGAAATCCTTGTCCTAATTGAGTTTATATTTTGGTAGGAATAGAGACAAATTAACAAGTAAAAGAAATCTTAAAACTGTCCCACCAAGAGATGTTAATTCTTATCACTCTTTCTAGGACATATCTCCAAACTGTGTGATAAGTTAGTAACTGCTACAACTACTAAGCTTTGTAAACGTAGTAGGAGCCTGTTGTCTTATGTCGTAAAACTAGAGTAATTATAATTACATATTGCATATAGATAATGTTAAAAGTTATTCAGTTAACATTTTAATAGCTACATTTTACATGTTATTTAGAAGAGGAACTAGGCTCAGGGTTATATGAGAAATTTGGTTTTGCCATCTTTTTTGTTATTAAAAAGGCCCAATACTATAAAAGTATTACTTGAAGCAAGATAACCATGCTAATCTAAAATGCCTTCATCAAAAGAGTGGAAGTGATCATGTAAAATTACAAAAAAGTTTTCTTTTATCTAGACACCTGCATTTTTTTATGGTTATGTAACAGTAATGGCCATCACAGGATTTTTTAGTGGTGTTGAGTAACTGGGGGTTGGGTTCTTTACTGAAGTGTAACTTGTGATTTGGATTCCAGTATTGGTCAAGGGTAGTATGATTATTATTAGATTGTGTTCTGGTTATTAACTTAAGTAGCCTTTAGATTTTTTTATTTTTGTTTAATTTGAGAATTATACCATGATATCAAATAGAGAAAGAGTTGTAACCAACAGCTCCCAAAGTTCAAAAACGCCCTTTTGGGCTTATTTGATAAGTATTCTCTCTTCTGTTTTTTGTAGATTTTATTTCAGTTTCCCAGAGGCTCAGAGGGTATACAGATCTACTCTGTTTGAATATATTGTTAGGGAAAAGAAACATTTATGTGTAGGATGGGCCCAAAAGCAGAAAGTTATGCTAGTGACTTTTTTTTTTTTTTACAAGCTATAAGGACAATAGATAGGAAGATCTTCCTTTTTCATTTCAGTCTCAAGTCGAATATGTCACCCCAAGTTGAGTAGGAGCAAGTGTATTGCCACACCCAGATTTTGGAGAGTCCTAGGTCCATTGGTGAGATCAGCTCTTCCAAGTGTCAGTGCCAGGGAGGACTACTTAGTTACAGCTGTTCTAGCACTTTAAAATAATGATGTAAAAGAGGGGTATTATTTTTATGTGTTCTTAAAAATCTTGGCCTGATTGGTTTTCTTTTACACATTAATTTGCTTCATATTTCAAAATAAGAGTCAAGCAACTCAGATAATATCATTTTAAAATTTGTATTAATCTCCTGGATTGACTCAATTAATATGCTGTTACTTTTCATTTGATTTAATTTTTTAGTGTAAATAATCATTTTCTACTGTGTTATTTGTCTTATCATGAATCAGTATATCAATCATGACTTCTTACTGTAGTTTTTTTTTCTTTTTTGCAAAAACCTTTGTTAATCTGAACCTTAACAGTCACATTGAGTTTCTTTCCTCACACGTAAAATACTTCTTGTTCCATTCTTTTAATGATTTATTTTTTTAACAAAGCTCTAAAATCAGTAATTAAAAATCAGAGTACACTTTTTTCCCTTTGCACCATACTTCCAAGTCTCTTAATCTACTTTTGTTTATGTTACTGAGTTTGTCTTTCTGTTCCCAAATTCCACTGGCTGTGGTCACCAACTCAAGGTATCCTCACTGCTTTTCCATGCAGTGTTTTCTAATTTTTATCATGAAACTGTACACTTCATGTTTTATGTTTTTATTCATACATAGCAGTGGATATCACCTTACAAATATGATTAATCATTACATCTTCTCCCCAAATTACAGTTATTAAAAAAGTTTAAAAGTAGTAAAAGGGTATTCTATGTTAAAAGAAGGCAATAAAAAGCAGCTATTTTCAGTCAAATAGATCAATCACTTTTATCCTATTTAATTTGGAAGGAATAACATTAAACTGTGTTAATTCTTTTGACCATTATCTGACTTAAAACTCAGTAGTTAGGTCCTAGAACATCTTGTTTGATAAGCAGTTGTGGAATGGGAGAAATGTGCTCATTGATGAGCAGACTATAACTTTTTCCTTTATCTGAAAATAAAAAAATGAAAATAGAAATGAAGAGAGCATAATTTTTGTTAACTCAGTTTGTGGAACATTAGTGCAGAGCATAGTAAACACGGACAATGCTGATTCCTTGCACTTTATATCTATCCCTTAAAAACTTCATTCAGAAAAAATAGAAAAATATTCATTAGCATTTGCATTAAATTTAAAGAACTATCTGGTTACTAGATATTTTCGTTTTCTGTGCTAGGATTCCTCATGTCCATAACATGTTGGTTGAGGCTCTGCAGCTCACCCCCACTCTCAGAGTGGCCAGTCTCCAATAATTGGACCCCGTGATTTCCACTCTCTGCTGTGTTGGACGTCATGAGCATTGCAATCCCTCTGGGAGTCACCACACCAGATACATCCTACTCAGATATGGCTGCTGGATCAGAGTAAGTGCTGCTTCCTAGGTAGTAGGTACATTACCAGTTTGTATCGAGACAAATTTCTTATGGGCATCTAATAGTAAATATGTAGTATTTTCTACACCCAAGCCTAGCCCATTATAAATGACATTAGACTGTTCCCTTTCCCCTGTAGAAGCTGGAGGCAAAAAAGAATTAGAAGGGGGAGGAAAAGAATTTGGGAGGGGGTAGGTATTTCTAAGTAAATAATTAATAGAATTAAATTTTCAAGATAGTGATTATTTTCATTTGTTCTGATGGGTAAGGAAGATTGAAATAAGTAGGTGTCACTACCTGCTTCTGTAGAGTTAATGATTATCTGATGAATGGAGGATAAGGAGGAGTTTTTTCCTACTGATTTCCTTGAAGGCCTCTTCCTATGTACTTCTCATTGTTCTAGAGTAAAGGGGCTGCTACTGTATGGGCAGGTTACTTAGACCTTCTGATATTTGGGATAGAAAATGTGGAAAGTAGTGTCACCTGCTTTTTATAATATTCATTGCCTAGAAAGAGGACCTTCAAAATCAGTGGTACCAAACTTTTTTTTCAGCTAAGAGCAGCTTTAGGAATTCAGAATTTGTCGAAAAGTCCAATCCCTAAAATAGACTCTCAATTCTTGAAGAATTTAAATGCCAAATGGCAATGAAGGTAGGCCTTCATTATAAAACTTTATATATTATTCACAGTTTTAAAATTTTTAGCCTTTTGTATCCCTTCTCTTTTAAGTTGTCCGAGATTCCCCCTGCTCACAGATTCCCCCTCTTGTCCTTTTACCTCCCTTGTACCCAATCTTCCTTGCTTACAGAAAGGAAGTGGAAGCCCCCTACCTTTCAAGACGAAGTGGCACTACACCAGGATGTGAAAGTCCAGCGAAAGAGACCCAAGGGGCCTAGGGGGCAGCACACCCCCAGAAGCCAAGTCTATTCCAGGCAGTACCAGGGATTAGGGTCTGGGCTGGAAAAATCCTGGTGTTTTGAATATGTTCAGGTCCAGTTCAGACTCTTGATCCCACAGCCACTTCTTGAGTGAGGTGGGTGTTGCTCTAATTCCCCTGTTTCTCTTGCCATTTTCACAGTCCCTGGGGATTCTTTCCCCTTCAGCAAAGTAAAGAAACTGTTCCAAAACTCTGGGTAACTGCATCCCTGATAATAGTGGTTTTCTTCCTAAAAACTGAGAATATTAGTAAAGAGCATGTGTATTTCTTCACAAAGCCACCTAGAATAACTGTTTGATGACTTCCTTAAAGAGGAAGACTTAAAATGAAACTACCCTAAGAGGCAATCTGTTATATTCTGGGGTAGTCTGTAATTGAAAGCAGTTTTTGGCCTTATTCCCATATAAAAAAGAAGATGGAGGGTGGGGGGTGGAAAAGGGTGGATTGTGTTACTTCCAGAGCCCTTTTTCCTGTTTTGTTTTTATTTTTTTGCATGCCAAAGAGATTTAGTTACACCAATAGCTGAAGCTTCCAATTTTATAACTGTTTCCCAGACAAAGTACTTAAAAACTTAACTGCATCCGTAGGTAATTGTATAATGTTAATGGATTTGTGTAAAGTCAACCACTAGTCTCCTATATGGAATGACTAACAAACTGTATAGGTAGACAGCTCTAACATTTGTGAGAAATTTCAACAACAAAAAATTCAGTGTTGATTAACTCAACAAGATTGGGATTAGTAGCTAAGAAAAAGACCTAAAACAATTATTCTTAAAACATGTGTTTTTCCCAGGGTACAGAGGTGACTACCCATAACTGTTGCTTAGGAAGTCCAGAAATAATTACAGAATCAAAAAATATTTCTGGCCTAAAAATTTGACTGCAGTGTTTCTATCTCGTGAAACATTTTCATCTATGATTTCCAGACAGATTTCCACTACTGTAGTCATAGCTAATTTTTCAGTTTTTCATTTTGTATCCCTACAAGGCAAGAGAATGTCAACAATTAGCTTACATACCATTCTGTTAAATTGTTGATGATATTTGTTAATGCTTCATTATGCGTATGTCACTGTCACGCATATTCCACTGTTTTGGGCACTCTGAGATTAAACCTGGTATTAAGGGCAATATACTCAACTAGGTAAAAAGACCTAGACCTTACTTTATGGGATTTTAAATCTGATGGCAATGGTGTACATTATGGTTTGTTTTTGTTTTTGTTTTTTTCTTTTTTCTTTGTATATTTGTAGGAAAACCTCTAGATGTAACAATAGAAGGAAAGACTTTTCAGTTTACTGTCCTGCCATAAATGAATTTCAGAGGTAGTGTTGCAACAGCAGGTTGCACATTGTACTTAAAACACAATTGATGGAGTATATCTGTTGTGAGCATGGCTTCTGTGTATGTGCCCAGCTGTCATAGAAGGTTAAACATAGGGGAAGAAAGGCTACAGTTACATTTGCATAAAATAATTGGCTAATAAAGAGATGCAAACCTAATACTCCAAATTCTTTATCAGTATTTTAAAAGAGACGATCTGGTATATGTGTATATGTCAAGGAATAGCCTAGGAAATCCTGTAGTTACCTATCAACATGTAATTATGCATTTAATCTGTAACTAGTATGGAAATTGCAAAGTTTCCTCATCAAAAGATATGAGCTTAAATTTTAGTATTTGTCACACATAAATAATATATTAAATGCTATGCTTAACTACAAAGTATTATGACAGTGGGATGGCCTTTTAACCTACACAATATACATTTTATTTTTATTCCCTAGACTTGCACATGAAGTGCATATGTTCATATTTACCCAGTTTGGAGATGGGTAAGATACAACCAGCATAGCTCCATCTCCATGGCCATCTTTTATCTCATGCCACTTTCTTTTTTCCCGTCCAAAAAAAAAAAATCCATTTCTAATAAACAGCTGTCATATTTCACCCCATGTGTTCAGTGGTACAGAATCTCTTACATAAAATATGTACAGCTCTTTGAAATACTTTTATCTAGTAATTAACAATGCTGTATAAAGTTATTACTTTCTCTTAACTGTCCATCATAGAAACTAAATTCTACCTTCATTTTATTAATGCTTGTTTGCCTTTGGTTTCATTTAGGAAACCCCACCTGTTTCCTAATAATCAGAGCTGATTGCCTCTCAGTGAGCCATATTCAGATCATCTATTTCTCAAGAATACTGACCTGCATTCTTGATGTATTCCCCCCACCCCTGCCCAGTTCCCATCTTGCAGACACTCTTTAAGTAATAAAATGCATGCACTTCACTAACAGAGAATACTTTCCTATGTCTAAAGTTCTTCTTCACCTAGAAATTACCTTTGCTGTTACTTATAAGATCCCTTCTCACAGTTTTGGAGCATATAACTGGGTGAGTTGGATACATACCTCAGAATTTTCTTTTATCCCTCACTTCTCAGCTGACATTGCACCACATTGAATTGCACACTTTATTCCCACCAAGTCCTATATTATGTATATTTCCAAGCAGGAAAAATGTTTATTACGTGAAACAAACAGTATTCATTATTCAATTCCCTAAAAGACCCTTTGATCCACCACTAAGACTGAGTTATGTGTGTCTTTGGAGTTTCTAATTTGTGAATCTTAGTGCTAGTTTGCTAGTTAAATGACAGATAATCCATTATTCAGTTTTGCAAAGTCAAACAGTTGCATTCCTTAATTATCTTTCAGAGTTCTCCAAAACCTAACCAGTTACTTAAGCAATCAGTTAAAGATTTTTTTGCCCCAGAACTTGAATTTTGTCCTTAGCCACCTCTATCTTTATTATCAAATAAGGGCTTACATTAAATTTCTTAACTTAAAACACATTTTATAATTATTTTATGTTAATAAATTGTGCTTAAACAGTTTATTTTCCACTCAGTGTCGGTACAGAAAAATACTCAACCAAGCTTCTCAGTAAGCCTGGTTACTTAAGATCTTACATGATTTTCTTCAAAGGAAGAAAGTTACCCTGGTTTCCAAACTAGTAAGGTGTAGTGGAAAGAGCACAGACTTTGGAGTCACATATTGACTGTGTGACCTTGGTAAAGTTATATAATCTTACCACCTCAATTTCACATTCTGTTAAAATGGGGTGCTCTTTACCATGTTTAGTAGTTGCAGAGTAAACAAATTAATACTATAAATCTTCTAGGAAATTAGACAATTCAGAATGGTAGTTAGTACTACTGTTATTGTCACTAGAATAAACTTCTGAGTGCAGTTTTGATTAGTTTGAAGTTCTGTGGTATTACCATGCAGCTATTAAATAATTGTGTCCTTGATATGCTTGCATGTCATTGGTGGATGAGAAATTATTATTCTTAATATGTGGAAGGTGTTTGGGGGTTCATCAAGATGAGAGGTATGATAAATATAAGATGCCATTGTTTTTACCTGTACTTTCTTCAGGGTATCCTGTCTTGGTAGTGAATGGAAGAGGGCCTGGTCCCTGGGGCAGTGCAGAAGGCACTTTCATCATCTCACTCACTGCAAATGTCATGTGAGGTTTCATGGAAGTATTAAGAGATCCAATTAAGAAGAATAGTTCTGAGTCTAAACCAGCCCAGAGTGGCTTCTCTAGGGGAAACTCCCTGCTCAGCTGGTACGTTTGTGTTTGTCATTAGGGACACCTTGTATCCCAGGTGCCTGCTTTGAGACATCTGCCTATACTGGCTTCATGTTACACACAAGTCCACATTTAATAACACTCCTACTGTTATTTATAGGCTTAGTTATGTTGATCAGATTGTTCCACTGAGTTCTTTCTCTTGCTCTAGTGGCTGGTGGTTGTGGAAAGAGGAGGGGTTAGAATGGGAAGTTAAGTCTTAGTTTAAGGAAAGATTAGGTGTTATGCTATCATGCGTTGCTTTTCGCCTTTGTGCAGCCCTGAATCTGTGGAGGCTAGTCCAGCAGTTAATGAGAAGAGCGTGTATTCCACTCATAATTATGGGACCACTCAGAGGCATGGGTGTCGAGGACTGCCTTATGCTGTGAGTATGCATTTATTTCTCTCCAGAGCAGTGATCTTCCTGGAGTGTAATCCATTCTTATACATTGTGACTTTCTTGAAATGTTTATATGCAGCATGACGAAGTTGCCCCTTTTGCACTTCCCTGCCTCCAGCGGACGTCTAGCCCTGCATCATTGTTCTTGTTTTTATGTCCCAGTTGACCTTGGCATTTTGTTTTATCACTTTCCTGGTTGAAGCCAAAAAACGAAGGGTACTACTTTCTTCTTTCTTTCCATATGTACCATACTTTAGGGGAGAGAGGGGCCAGTGTTTGGACACTGTTGATTTAAAAAATCTTATTTTCAGGATCATAATTACGGAGCCCCTCCTCCTCCGACACCTCCTGCTTCTCCCCCTGTCCAGACGATCATCCCTCGTTCTGACCTGAATGGCCTGCCGTCGCCCGTAGAGGAACGCTGTGGAGACAGCCCGAACTCTGAAGGAGAGACTGTTCCTTCCTGGTGTCCTTGTGGTCTTTCTCAGGATGGCTTCCTTCTCAACTGTGACAAGTGCAGGTAAGATCGTGTTCCATCTAAATCCAACCCTGGGTTACTGGGATTAGGGTTTCTTACTAGTAGGGAAAAGCTCAAAGTATTCTTTCTTGTGTTTGTTAATGTAGATGATTCCTTAGTGCTCCTTGGCTCGAATTCTCTGCACTAGGTGAGAATTGCTGACAACAAGGAATGAGAGATTGATCTTAAAGCTATTGAATTTGATATGAAATTTAATGTCCTGGAAACATTTGGTAGGTGGGAGGAAGGGGGTAGTATATGCAGAGACACTTCTCCCTTGTGTGCGATGATGCGCTGCGTGCTGCTGGAAGGACTACTTTAAGTTTGTTTTCCCTCTTTAGGGGAATGAGCAGGGGGAAGGTTATTAGACTTCATCGGCGGAAGCAGGACAACATATCAGGTGAGCCGAAGATGGGTTAGGCCCATGTTTTGACACATATTATTTTTTGGTTTTAATATTCATCCTAAGAACCCCTCTTGAAAGTTCCCATGGTCCCCAGCTCTTTTCATGGAAAGTCATTGAAGTCTTCTCAAAAACTGTTGTAATTCTGTTGTTATGAATTAATTGTATCCAGAATCAACAGTTTAGGCCTATACTAATCAAAATATTCCCTGTGAGTGCACACACACACACCTAAGAACAGATCCTTTTCTGTGTTACGTACACATCAAGGCAAGGGAGCTTGGGGACCGAGTTCAAGGGGGGAAGTACATATAGAGTTTGTATGCTTAGTGAGAAAGATACAGATAGAATTTTGTTTTCATATGTATTGTGATATTTATGTTCTAATAGAGTTAATAGAAGTAATGACTTCCTGAGTATGGGCTAGATCTAAAGGAATGAGCTGTTTTTTAATGTATTTAGGATTCTTATGCACTGTGAACTGTGAACTGACCTTTTTTCAGGTGGGGATAGCAGTGCAACAGAAAGCTGGGATGAGGAGCTTTCTCCTTCCACTGTGTTGTATACAGCAACACAGCACACACCTACAAGCATCACCTTAACTGTTAGAAGAACCAAACCCAAGAAGCGGAAAAAGAGTCCAGAAAAGGGTCGTGCAGCACCAAAGACGAAGAAAATCAAGGTATGGAGGGTAAAAGTATCTTAAATAGAAATATGTCTGAAATAGCCCAAATGTTGGATGAAGAATACACCAAAATTCTTTTAAGAAATTTGATCCAGATGTTTGATGGGCCACTTCTGCTCTGTTTGCCAAAATCAGCTAATCTGTGTTACAAATATGCAGATCAACCTCTTTCTGCCACTCCATACCATCACAACTGACACATAGTTTCTTTTACTCCAACCCCACATCCCAGGTATGAAATCCCAGCCCCACCTGGCACACATCTGTGTGTACAGCTGCCTCCAGTCTAGACTTCCACCGTCCTTAAAGTATCTCCTGCCTCCTCAATCCCAAAACCCAGTCTGAAATTCTTGTGCTGGTACATGCCCACTTCATGTTGTTGGTTGATTGTTTTTTTCCTTGTTTCAAAAAATTCAGGAAACGTCTCTTGAACGGTCTAGGCTTACTCAGTGTTGTGGTCACTTTCCTGTATTCTCAACTAAAAAGTCTCCAGAAGAAACCTCTTCTGTTTTGTGTTCTTTCTTCCCCATCACAGCAACTTTGTTGCTTCTAGGTGACTTGCCCACCCCTTGTTAAGGGGATTGGTCTTTATTTCCTTCTTAATTTCAAACTGGTAAATCTGTAGCCTTACTTAATATTTTTATATACTTTTTCTTTTAGTGTCAGGGGTGCATATAGGATTTAAGTGATGCATGCTCTTCCCTGATAATTACCTAATTTCACAGTGGAAAGTATTGGTATTAGCCTCAGAGTTCACTGGCCTTATGCCACCCCTATTCTTGATAATAGTGTGGGGAATTCCATTGTATTTGTTACCTAGAATAAAGGGGACAGACTAGGACACTAGTTCTTGCCTTAGTTAAGTCTCAGATAGGTATAACTGTCATTCTTGGTACCAAGTTTTGTTTTGTTCTACTTGTTTTCCTCTTTGGGATAGGCATTTCGAGAGGGATCCCGGAAGTCCTTGCGGATGAAGGTAAGGGGTCTTCTTCTCTGATGCTGTGTTTTACTTCACTGTGATCTTGCATTTTGGTCAGCTTCTTTCCTGACATTGATGGTCTGGGAATCTTGGACTCTGCTTTTTGTTAGTTTTTAATTGTTGCCATTCAGATTTCATAGAGCCTTTCTCCAAAGTGGATTTTCTTGGCCATTTTCTAAAATATTTTTTCCTTTCTGTAATCAGGCTTCATTTACTAGTTTTTCATTAGCTGCTTTTCTTGGGGTGTGGGGTAAGTGACATTTTGCCAAACAAAATGAGGTTGATGTTTTCCATCATTCTGATTGGCCTCCATCTCAGGAGTGAGGTTTTTCTGGTGATAGGGGATCTCTTGTGCACTCACTCTAGCATCATGTACACTTTAATCACCAGTTGGAAGGATAAATTTCATCAGTAGGAAAGTAGTGTTGATAAGAATTATTCTTACTGGAATTACTTACTTTTGAACTATTTTCTCCTGGCCTATCTACTTGGTATAGAGGACTCAGGTGATGTTAGCGCACTTCTTTTCTTTAGTTATCAAGTAAAAGTTTATGAGACATTATTTCAGATAATGGTTGGATAATAGAGAAATTATGTGCAGTATTTAAAGGAACTTTCAGCTGATGAAGAATTTGCCCAAAGGAAATTTGAATATACTGTCTGATATCTTCCCTTACCTATTTGTTGATGTAGAAGGACAGCGTACCTCCCAGACCATTACTTACGGCTTCAAAGTATTTAATTAGAATTAAGGTCTAGTTTAGTTCTGTAAGTATTCTTATGTCTGGATGTGTAAATGATATAAAAGCAGAATCTTTTTTATTGACCATTATAGGGTAAACATTAAACTCTTATAGTGAGGATAAGCTTTCTTAGGAAATATAGATATAATACACATTTATATGTGGAACACCAAATTGACTCGTTTAAAAAGATCACAGATAGCACTTTGTATAAAATTAGAAGGCCTCACCTTGCATATACCCATAAACAGACTTCTAAATATCTATATAAAAGATGGGAGAGGACTTGGAGCCCAAGACCACCAGAATCCTGGGATGTCTTGGAACACAGTTACTGTTTCTTTGCTGGATCTTTCTCCTGTAAGGAGACCTTTGCTTAGAGGGGACCTTAAATAGATTTATGGGGCAGACATAACCCTGATCCCAGGTGTTAAACCCTTTTCTCTTTTATCAGCTATTGTAACTTGCCTCTAGAAGTTTGAACTTTCTGAAAGCTATTGATTGGCTCTCCCAGAAAACTACATATTAACCCCAAATATTGCTTGCAGTTTTTGAGATGTTGACAGATAGCTCCATAAGCATGTTAAAATTTAAATAATTAAAAATTACTGGTTTATTTTGATTCTCATTTCATAATTCTGAGTTATAAATTCTGTACTCAGAATTAATTGTTAGTAAGAACCTTACCAAAGATCTGAGTGGGAACCATAGCATAAGAATGAGATGAATCTTATCATTTGGCTTTTTAACCCCAAAGTTGAATTTCCCTACTGGAAACTAGTCTAAACCAGGGCTTTATAACCTCGACACTGTTTGAGCCAACAACTTTTGAACTAAATAATTCCTTGTAGGGATCAGAGCTGTCTTTTTCATTACAGTAGGCTGTGTAGCATCATCCCTAGCATTTACTAAGTGCCAAAAAAGCCACATGTTAATCAAAAATAACTTCAGGTATTACCAAAAGTCTTCTTGGTGGCAAAATCCCCACTGGTTGAGAACCGTTGCTCTAAACCCACTGAGATGGCGTCTCCAGTACTCAGAAGAACAGGATAGCAGACTAGACAAGAGTTGTGTTAGTGAACAATAGCTAAAACTATGGCACAGGCTTCCAGGATACATTGTTGAACAAGTCAGAAGTTTAGTGATCAATACTGGATGCTTAAACCTGGGAATTCTATTGGGGCACCCCTAACCCCCAGTCTTACGCTGCTGCTGCTAAGTAGCTTCAGTTGTATCCAACTCTTAGCAGACCATGGACTGTAGCCTACCAGGCTCCTCCATCCATGGGATTTTCCAGGCAAGAGTACTGGAGAGGGGTGCCATTGCCTTCTCCCCCAGTCTTATAAGCTCCCTTAAAGTCTTCAGTTTTGTACTTTTTCTTTTGCTCAGCTGCTGCTGTCCACCTCAAGCAGGCAGTATTCTATTCTCAGCGTGTTGACCTTAGGTGTTCGTTAGATCCTTTTGTTTATTGTTCATCCTTTTGGAATCTAGTGAGTAATGTGGAAAACAGGGGTATTAAATTTTTCCTTCCATTTTCCTGTTCCTTGGAGGAAGGATGGTAGACAATAGTCGATCAAAACTAGTGCCATAGAAATGAAAGAAAGCAATTGTTACAATGGGTGTAAGTGTTTTCTCTCTCATCCATGGAAGCCATGTTTAATTTTTGTATGCCTGTTTTTGCAAGTTTAAAGTCGACATGGATTTATAAGTAGCTTTGGTGTTAGTGTCTTCCTTCTAGTCATCACTGGTGTGAAATCATCACTATTAGTGTTTGTGTTGTTTTCTGAGAACACCTTACGTCCTGAACACCATAGAGAAGAACATATATCAGACTTTTGTATAGCAAAAGCACAAATAAAAGTATTTAGGAAGATGTTGCCAAGATGTGAAAATGTTTCCTCAGTACTGTACTGTCATAGAGGGCAGTGGTTTTCTGGTTTTCTGAGTGAAGTGTAGCAGATTATAAGCATTTCCTACACTGCATCTACCCATGCCACTGCCCCACCGTACCTCTTTGTTGTGTGGCTGTTTTGCAGTGTCATAAATAGCATGCTAGAAAGATATACTGAATGATAGCTTTTTCTGTGGGAGGCAAGATTATGAGTTAAATATTTATTGGGTCACATGTAGCTTTTAAGTGAACATATATTAATTGTATAATCCATGCAAAAACATACTCCTGGATAGTAGTAAAACTACCAATTTGAAATGGCACACTGATGTGTGATAAGTGTTGAAAACTTTAGCAATGTGGGTATTTTGAAGTATCGCTGTTGTTCATTTTTATGAAGATTTTCTTACAAACTTGATGTCATTCTTCTGATAAATTTGATTTTTATGATTTAAAGATGGTCATAAAATCATAGTGATGGGATGTAATTGCAATCCAGATTGATTTGTCACTTTATAAATGAGGAAACTGAACCTTCCAGCTTACTGGTAATAAAACCATGATAGAAGCCAGATCCTGACTTCCCAGGCCATTGGTCTTATGCCACACCAACTGCCAAGTGAAAACTAATTTTCTCTGAATGTTTAGCTTGGCAGTCCCCCACCCCACCCCTTCCCGTCCCATCCTGTCCCTTTTATGGACTCTCCTAATCTACTTGACCTTTGTTCTCTACAGAATTCTCCTTCTGAGGCACAGAATTTAGATGAGAATACAACTGAGGGATGGGAAAATCGGATAAGACTATGGACTGATCAGTATGAAGAAGCCTTCACTAATCAGTACAGTGCAGATGTACAGAACGCCCTTGAACAACATCTACACTCTAACAAGGAATTTGTGGGCAAACCTGCTATTTTAGACACTATTAATAAGACTGAATTGGCCTGTAATAATACAGTTATTGGGTCCCAAATGCAGGTAAGGATCAAAGGGTTAAAGACTCCTAATTAGTTGAGATTTTAAGAACTCAGGAAAAGGACGTATTTTGAAATTATCCTATCTTTCAAATGTATAAGGCTTTAGGGTAACAAATTAGCCATCTGTTGAGGAGCATCTTTAACCAAAAGCAAGTTTTGATCACTTGAAAACTGTTCAGATACATACTTTAAGATATATATCTTTATTAATTAAAAATAGGTAAATTAGGATATGGGAAATTTATGTAGCCTCCGTAAGAATTATTAAGAATAATGGAAAGCTAAGCTCTTACATTATACATAGAGCCACTAAAATTTTAGTCGTATTTTTCTGAGATTTTTTTTTTTCTTTTCTTTGGAGTTAAGGGGGTGGCAAGTTCACTATACAGAACCTATTTCCTAGAAATACTAAGATTTTATCAAATTTTAAAATGTCTCATCATTGAGCTAAATAACAGACACGTAAAACCTAAAAGTATTAGTAGTGCCTTTCCTGCAATTAAGAAATAATTTAAATGTCTACTTAGCTCCTGTTGATATCATCTAATGTTAATACTCTGATTTTATTCAGCTACAACTGGGAAGAGTCACTCGTGTTCAGAAGCACCGGAAGATCCTGAGGGCTGCAAGAGATTTGGCTTTGGACACTCTTATAATAGAGTATCGAGGCAAAGTCATGTTACGGCAACAATTTGAAGTCAATGGGCATTTCTTCAAAAAGTAAGACATCACTCATTAAGTATTAAGGGCTAAAGTGGGTCTCACTGAGCAGGATAGCTGTAAAAGCCATGCTTGTGGGTAGGATGCTCTTGCAGAAAAACTCACGCCTCTCTGCTATTTGTAGAGAAGTGCAAATAAATCTGCAAGTTGTTTAATCTATGAAGTGGTGATGACTCCTTTCTTAGCAAAACATTCCTTGCTTTGTGCTTATTCTTTAATCAGAAGCAGACAAGCATGTGATGTTTTCTAAGTTTAGGCGTTGCAGAGGAATGCTAACCTCTTCTGTCATCATGTGCTTCATATTTGAAATCACGGGGTAGCCTTTTTATTTCTATTGAGAATTACAGGAATTTTAATTATATTCCTAGACCATACCCCTTTGTGCTCTTCTACTCAAAATTCAATGGTGTAGAGATGTGTGTGGATGCACGTACTTTCGGTAATGATGCTCGATTCATCAGAAGATCATGTACACCAAATGCAGAGGTAAGATTTCTGTAGCAACTTCTCTTTGAATGGAACCACCAAAAGGATAAGTCAACTGAAGAAATAGTCTGGAAACTTCATCCAGATTAAGGTCTGTAGATAGTGGTTATAATCTTTGATTGTAAGAGATGAAAATCAAAAGTAATGGTTTATTTATTCTGACAGGATGAGGTCAAGGAGTGGATTTTCTTTAGAGAAGGCAAAAATGTGAAAAAGCAAGTTGGCATTTGCTAAAGAGAAAGAGCTAGGCTGGATAGGAAGTCAGTGAGGTTATATTAAAGAATAGCCATACAAAAGATGTATCATTGGGCCAAGACTAAGGTGTGTGGTTTCATTTTTTAGATTTTAGGTAATCAGGTTGAAGGAGTGATTCTAAACATTTCTAAAGTTGATTATTTGGTGCATAATGAACGCAGCCACATCAAATGTAGCAAGAATGTTAATTTTCTGGTACAGCTGAAAACAGCTTTAAGATGTAGGTCAGTGTTCTTATTCTGAGTGCTAACATCTGAAAATTTCTTCGTTTATTTCAAGAAATATCATAAATTTTCAAGCAATTACTATATGATAGTATCAAATGGAATAACAGACTACCATAACTAAGTGAGGAAATATTATTTGAGTAAAAGAATTTTTTTTCCTCTTACAGAAAGTTTCTGTTATTTTTGATAAATCGTAATCATTAGCCTTGTTCACACAGGTGCGACACATGATTGCAGATGGGATGATTCATCTCTGTATCTATGCTGTGTCTGCTATCACCAAGGATGCTGAGGTCACCATAGCATTTGATTATGAGTACAGTAACTGGTAAGATCTCCACAGTCTTTCCTAACATGAGTGGCCTTGTCTTAAACTTTAAGCTGTTCTTTCTGTTCAGTNAGGTGCGACACATGATTGCAGATGGGATGATTCATCTCTGTATCTATGCTGTGTCTGCTATCACCAAGGATGCTGAGGTCACCATAGCATTTGATTATGAGTACAGTAACTGGTAAGATCTCCACAGTCTTTCCTAACATGAGTGGCCTTGTCTTAAACTTTAAGCTGTTCTTTCTGTTCAGTCTGATTTTGTACCTTGCCATTTCCTTTTTCTTTTTTTAACCTTTTGTTTTCATGAGTAATGCATTTTCTGCCTAAAAATGGTGAAGGGAAAGACAGAATGAGGGTGTTTTGTTTTGTTTTTAGAGAGACAGGTAGATAGTGTGATACTGCTCACCAATCTTCTAACCAAGAGTGTTTTGGCCTTTGCCTCTATGTAGCAAGAATAACAAAAAGAGTATGTATGTAACACTCTTAGAAATTACAGTAGTTATCTACTGTTAAACACACAGCTGTTGTACCAACTATCATACAGAATAAGAATCTAAACATTCACCTCATCCACTCACATCATCCACTCAGATCATCCACTATACTCCAACTATATATGACAATGAAGAAAAACAGATAGCAAGTCATAGATGATTATGTAATGGGTTTTGTAAAATGACTGCTTCTTTTTCCTTGGTCCTTTTAGGCAGTAAGGGTCTATGTAGCAAATTGATGTCCGGCACAGGTACATGAAGAAAAGGTATTAATAATAAATAGGGAATCAGTAGGTAAGAGTGAGGACACGGTGAAGGTAGACACAAGATAAATATGACTACTTTAGACCCTTTCTTGGATTCACTGCCTTTAAATAGCATAAAGACAATTGGGAGAATTGAATTTAGTGGGGACTTGGTTTCCTGTCCACTGAGTGAGTTTGGGTCATATAGAGAAACACAGAATATTGAAAATATTTATAGGACTCTCTCAATGACTCTATTTAACTTGTTCAAAGATAATACCAAAGGAAATTACTAAACTAAGATTTCAAAATAATGAATAGATAATATAACTGATTTTCAAGGGTACTGAGACAGGCACTTTTGGTTGTTTCTTTGGAGCAGTAATTATAAAGTGGACTGTGCATGTCACAAGGGGAACCGGAATTGCCCTATACAAAAAAGGAATCCCAATGCTGCAGAACCACCGCTCCCGCCTCCTCCAAGCCTACCTACCATCGGAGCAGAGACAAGACGTAGAAAAGCACGACGGAAAGAGCTAGAGATGGAGCAGCAGAATGAGGCCCCTGAAGAGGATAACAGCCAGCAACCAGAGCAAGTTCCTGAGAAAGTAACTGTATCCAGTGACCATGAGGTAATCTTCCCTGGTCAGAAGATGTTGCTATGGTGTTGATCCTCTTCATATGAAGAAGATCCCAGGTTGCCACATGTTGTTTTATGTAGGGAATCTATGTTAACACTTAATGCCCTTCATATCAAGGTGGGTATGCATTCATTCATTCATTCTAGTTTTGTCTTTTTTTTTTTTTTTTTAAAACAATGTCAGGAGCATCCTTTTGGATACTTAGCAGGTTTCAGTGCAGTGAATTGTGTTTATCATCTGTGTTTACCATGTGACCCCCATATAAGTAACACTGAAGCACTGGAAATTGTTTCTAGAGAGTTTTAAGCTCCCAGGGGAAAACCAGGGGTTGATTTTTTTCCTGGAGTTTAAGAATACATCTGAATATTGCCTCTTGTCTTAAAGGAAATAGACAATCCAGAAGAAAAAGCAGAAGAGGAGAAAGAAGAGATTGCAGATGATCAGGAGAACTCAGCTCATAGCAGGAGGGTGGGTACCTTCTAACATCTTTTTGTTCCTGCTGATTCCTGCTACCTATGGCATGTGAGCCCCTTCAGAACTTATATCATTTCATTTCTTCAATAAGTTACTATACCATCACCTTTAGGTCACAATTTGGGCTTTTTCTATAAAGTAGTTTGTTGTTGTTTTTTTTTTTACACAGACACATATAGTTCTCTAGTGACTATTATCTGTTGATGGTTTTAGGAGGTTTCTTATTGACAGTCTGGTTTCAAAAAAACTGCCTGTGGTAACAAATTATCTTTGTTTGGGTTAACTTAGTAATTTCCTACATTTGTGTGACTTGACATTTAAAAACCCAACAAAACCTGCAGTCATAATGGATTCAGAAGTTCTACTTTATGGCTGCAGTCAGTCATGTTTATTTTTGTCCTTGAGAAGCTGTTGAAGAAAATCTGCTTGATTTTTTTTTTTTAAACTATGAAAATGCAGGGAAAAATAAGTTTTGATGGCTATTTTTCTTTTGTATTAAAAAGTTTCAAAATAGCTGACCTCTTTTGAAATAAATGTCTATCAGTTTGCATTAATAATACTTGTGAAAAGCTGTTGTCTTCTCCTGGTAGAGGCTTCCTTCTATGCTAATGTCATTGCTTTCTAGACCCGGGAAGATAGAAAGGTTGAAGCCATCATGCATGCTTTTGAAAACTTAGAGAAAAGAAAGAAGCGGCGGGATCAGCCTTTGGAACAAAGCAGTTCTGACATAGAGATTGCTGCCACCACCTCAGAGACTCCTTTGGGAGAGGAAACAAAAACTGAAGCCCCTGAACCTGAAGTTAGCAACCCTGCTTCAAATATTGCCATCACAAGCAACCCACAGAGTGTTGGAGTGAACACCCGGCGGTCTTCCCAAGCAGGAGTAAGATGAAAAGACTCCAGGCCTTAGATAACACTTGCTAATATCAATTACCTATCTTTTGGAATGGCTAGAATCAGCATTTTCAGCTTTGCCTTATTTTGCAATAAATAAGCTGATTTGCTTATCACTAAGCTGATTTGTGGAATTCAGGGAAACAGAATTTGAACAAATAGATACTCTCAGACTAGAATGGAACTGTCTACAATTTCTGCCAGATATTGTTGGTGGTGAATTCATAAAGAACTTGTGGTTTCCCTTTGGCCTTCTCTGTAGTATAGTTATGTACCTGACCTTTCACAGGATCTTCAGTTCACTCTTCCTTTTCCTATCTCAGCCACAAATTGTAAGCCTTAAGCTGAAACCTCAGTATCTGAGGGAAAAACAGAGGAGGATTTACCTTCCTTGCTAAGAACCTAAAATTTGATGGCTACTTCCAGCTGACTTTTGACCAATTTTATAAATACTTTTTGGAAAAAGAAGTAAGCAGACATCTTCCTGTAGCTTTTCTGGCTGGTTTAAATGTATACATTTTATAAGGATTACATTTGAAATTAATGTTTGTTAATGCTCACTTTTTTCACCATGAACATTCAGAGTGCTTAAAGTGAATAGAAAGCTGGATAAAATATTTGCTGACATTTCTAGTAAGCAGTTAACTTTGCTGTTGTTATAGGATGTTGCTGCAGAAAAACCAGTCCCCAAACCACCTCCAGCAAAGCCTTCTAGGCCCCGACCGAAGAGTCGAATTTCTCGGTACCGGACCAGTTCAGCCCAAAGACTAAAGCGTCAAAAGCAGGCCATTGCACAGCAGGCAGAGTTGTCACAAGCTGCCTTGGAAGAAGGGGGAAATAACAGCTCAGTAACTCCTACTGAAGCTGGAAATGTAGACAGTTCAGGAGAAAACAGGCAATTAACAGGGTCTGACCCAACGGTGGTATCAGTTACTGGATCCCATGTCAACCGTGCTGCATCTAAATACCCCAAAACCAAAAAGGTAAGTTACAAATCCATCTTCCTAAGTGTAGTCTGGCAAAAGTTGTTCCTTTGTAAAGTAAAAGGGTCTGTAATCCTCAGGGGACAAAAAGCGGTCTATGAATTATTAGATTTGAGATAAAATGCTGCGTCCATGATGCTACTTTACTTTTGTTTCCATGGTTTTTAGACAGAGGTTAAATTACTGATAGCTGTAATGATCATGGAGAGGGTGAGCTAAGATGCCCTTGTGCTCTGATTATGCGAATCATATCTTTGCAGCTGTTTTATCTACCTCTGTCCTAGTTTCTAGATGAGGATTGTCTTTGTGAATTAACACTGCTGCCTCTGGCCTTTACATCTGCAACATCATCAACTGACAGTCTCTTTTTTTTAACTTAGTATCTAGTTACAGAATGGTTGAATGACAAAGCTGAGAAGCAAGAATGTCCTGTTGAGTGCCCTTTACGTATCACCACGGACCCAACTGTACTGGCAACGACCCTGAACATGTTACCTGGTCTTATCCATTCCCCGTTAATTTGCACCACCCCCAAACACTACATTCGCTTTGGCTCACCCTTTATCCCTGAGAGGCGTCGAAGGCCACTTCTGCCTGATGGCACATTCAGCTCCTGTAAAAAGGTATGTCTTTGTTTACGTGATGATTTCTTTTACTTTTAACCTAGGATGCCTGTAATGGTGACATATCAAACACATTCTGTAGATAAGCACACTCTGCCCAAATGAGTTTATAATGAGTTAGTTGTTAAGCCACAAATACTGATGCATCAGGAGTCAGTGAGGCTAAGGTGGGATGTATACTACATTTTGGTGCTCAGTTTGTCTTAGCAAATTGTCTTTGTGTTCACTGTTATCTTAGCAGTTGGTGACTGGGTAGAGAGGGGTGTTTTGTGTGTGCTCTTGTGATACTGGTTAACATGTCCATTTGTGACTATTCTGTAAGATTGGGCCCCAGGTACTCTAGAGCACTGTTGCACAAGTTAAAGAATGATCAGATTTTGTTTTGGATTAACTCAGTCACTGTTACCGTTTGACTGGGAGTAGAGGAAGGTCCTGTCACAACTGACAGAATTCCTGTTCCTTGATCAAAGGTGTGTTTATTCCTGAGTGACTGTGGAACCTACCATAAAGTTTTCTCTCTCTTTCTGGTTTCTCTTCTGTAGTTATGTATTGTTTTTGGATCTAGTGGCGGTCGTATTTGATGGTTGTTTATTTTTGGAATGCTTTCTTAATTCCCAGAAGCCCTGCCTGTTTTCCAAAGGCGTCTCTCAAGAATAGATCACGCCCTCAGATCTGTAATGTCATTTTCATGTTTCTAGAAGTTATAGGACACCCTTTCGTTTGGTACCTTTGAGGTAGAGTCTGTTCCCTGGAACACCCTTTTCTCTTATCCTCAGATCTGGATTCAGGCTGCCTTCCTCAATGTCTGCCATTGCCCTCCTCCACTGGCATCACGTACATGAGGATGCTGCATATAGATTATTTGATGTGATGAAGTCTCCAACTCCAGGCAGGTCTTCCCTGACTCCTCAAACTTAAAGCTTTTCTCTTTTCCCAAAGAGCAGATGCTGTTTCTTGGGGGGAGGGGCGTAAAAGATGAACCCAAGTGTTGGGGGATATGGAGGGGAGGAGGGCAGCAGGGATCTGCACACAAAGCAAAGGCACCACCACTGAGCGAGCAACATACGCTGAAGGAAGTCTTTTCCTAATCTTAATCTGAGTGTTTGAGTCACTTACTGATTTGTTTAGGGGAAATTCCCAAGTAGAACAACTCCTAAAGAGAAATTTGATCATGAGATCTTTGCCAAAAGGGTTTGTGTGTAATGGAGTAACATAACTTCCCGGTGTCAGAAAAGAAAACAGTGACAACATCTTTAAAAAGAGAACAAGGCAAGAAATTTACTAAAGGAAGTGAAGGTTAGGTCTCTGGGAATCCTTTATTCTATACCAAGTTATTTATCTTGGATCTTATAAATTATCTGAGAAGGAAAAAAAAATATTTGCCATTTAATGACCATTATTGATTAACCTTGGCTTCTCTGGTGACTTGGTGGTAAAGAATCTGCCTGCTTTTGCAGGACACTTGAGTCAGGAAGATCCCCTGGAGAAGGAAATGGCAACCCACTCCAAATATTCTTGCCTAGGAAATCCCATGAGCAGAGGAGTCTGGCAGGCTTCAGTCCATGAGGTCGCAAAAGAGTCAGACATGACTTAGTGACTAAACAACAATAACAATGATTAACCTTATTCTGTAATAATTGGCGGATTTCATTAACTCTGGTATGGCATGTAAAACTAATCTTACCATTACTTTTAGCTCAGTCCCTCATTAAAGGTAATAGCCCAAAATCTACATTTTCAGAGTAGTATTGAACAGTTAGAGAAGCTGTCTTTAGTTCAGAGGAACAAGTCAAAATATGGCTTAATATATATATGAAATAAACTTCTTCCATTTGTTCTGTCTTTGGATGGACATAGTACTAGGCTTCCTAGGATGTTAACTTTTGAAGTATCTTATCAAGTGAGATAATAGATTTTCTTTCTTTGATCCTTTAAGAAGGGTTAATAATTATTAATACAGAATAATGAAGTCTGAATTGTAAATAGTATGGGCTGCCTTCTTGAAATGCTGCCTTTATTATTCTGATGCTAGGTTGTAATCCTTCTATTCCCATCTTACTTTTTCCCAAGTAGCAGAGTTCTGTGAAAATCCAAAATGTGTAGAAATATGACTTCAAATCTGATAGAAAATATATTTCTTAGAGCCCTTTTTACCTGGTTATGGTTTCAGATTTGTATGTATATTTCATCTTTGTGTCTCTCCACTGGCAACAGTTAGAAATCCCATTTAATTCATATTCATGTTATAGTCTCTACATGTATCTGACCATCTTTAGTCTTGTTTTATACAGGCTCTGCTCAGACACTTTTATCTATTTGTGTCATATTAGTCTTTAAGAAGAGTTCAGGCTATGTATGTTGACACGTAGCAAAGTATCTTACTTGAGTCTTTGAAAATTGTTTAAATCACAAATTTAATATTTGCTGTTAATGTATCAAGATTATATTGCAAAACAAGAATAACCTTTTATGGGACAAAATTAATGAAATTGGGTCCTATGTAGAATTGAACTCAGGTTTATCCTAGATGGAGATGGAGATTTTTTTTAGACTGGTTAGAAAAGACTCACATGGTGCAGAACCTAAGAAGATTTCCATGATAAAATTGTAATACATTTCTAAAAATCACTCAGAGAAGAATATAGTTAAACAGATAGATAAGAACAGCCATCCCCCCATGGGATTAGTTAAAACAGCATGTATTCCTAGTAGGCCTTTACTCTGTCATATCTGATTAAAGGAGGTATAAAACCTTCATAAGTTTGAGTGTAAAGTTGCATGTGTATATTTGCACCCAGATTTTTAGAGTATTTGGCAAAATGTTTTATGATGTCACTGTAGTTTCTAAATTAAATCAATTCACAGCTCTTAACTAGCATGTTATAGTATGTCTTGTTGAATTTTACTTAACTTGTTATTTTGAAATGGAAGCATTTATGAATGGCTAACATGCCTTTCAGTAATATCTCTCCTTGTTTTCTCTAAATCTCTGAACTCACCTTGTAGGCATAATATGTGCGGGGCATTCAGTCTCCCATTTAGACTGAAAATGAAACACTATGCTTTTGCGTTGATATTTTATTGCGTGCACTGGAGTGATATTAATTTGTATACTCTGTACATAGCCTGAAATTCATTTGAACTAGTTCTCACTGAGCAATGTTTGCCCAGTACTGTGCTACAAGCTTTCTTCACATGCACTGTCTCACTTAGAATTCATGATAACCCTGTGAGCTTGGGATCATTGGGTTCAATCTACAGATCCAAAAGCTTTGGCTCAGAAGTGAAAGTAACTTGCCCAAAGTTTAAACATCTAGGAAGACGTGCAGCCAAGTTTCAATCCAGGTCTTTGGACTCTAAAACCCAAATTAATTTCTTTCCCTTTCCCCATCATAATGATACCCTTTAAAACATTTCTATTGCCCATCTCTGAGCTTCCTAGAAATCTTCAGTAGAGTTCAGGAGTTCCAGAGAAGGAAGAAATGTTCTTTTGACCTTAATAACTGTAGCTAGAACTTGGGGGAAAGGGTCTAAAGTTAATTTATTATCCATAGGAGTGATTCGAACTTGTTAGATACAAATAACTGTTGGTGTTCCATCGTTATGGGCCCTAAAATACTGTGTAGACACACAGTAGAGCCAGGAGGAAGGAGTTGGTCGAGTCGCTGTGTTCGACCATAAGCTAACCAGAGCAGCATCTTACTACTTAGAATGCCCCGTCCTGGTTTTAATTTCCCTTTTTGTAGTCATCAGATGCAGAGAATTCTTTCATGTGCACCTATTTGACACTGGAAGTACATGAAATTAACTTACCTTGGAGAAAAGCACAGTGACCCCAAATGAGTCCTGTCATCTGCTCTGATAAGAAAAACTTGTAGTAAGGTATCTATATAACAAAGAGTTTTCACTCATTTTTGGTCTCCTGAGCCTAATTTTTTCCTATATATACAAGAAATGCTTTGGACAAGGTGACCTCTGAGGTCTCTTCTATGTAGGGAGTTATGGTTCTGACAGTTCATCTTCACGTCAGTATTCTGTATGTAGGAGAGTAAGTTCATTCTTGGTCTTATTTTGGCTTCAGAGACTTGATCAAATCCTAATGTGATTCAGTTGATGTTACCTCTCTTTTTTAGATATTCACTCTCTATCTCTTCATGTCTATACTTTTGCTTTCATTTGGCAGACCACAGTGCCATATACATGATGTAAATGTTTTCTTGGCTTCCTCACATTATTTCCTAAGTTCCTATTAGAATTGCTGTCTTTGGTAAAGAGAATATTTACTTACCTGTAATATTGGTTCTCTAAAGGTGTAAGTTACAATCACCTTTACTCTTCCTATTTGGGATATGGTCTGACTCAGAAATTGATGTTTATCAAAATTCGATCTGTCTTGTGTCAGGGCAGGAGAGCCACAGAGTGGTGAGCAACCTACAACTGTGTGAGTGTATCTTAAGAGAACATAATTACAGGTAAGAAATTTTCTCTCTTCCACAGGTTGCATAATCTTACTATCCTTATCTCTGTAGGCTTCCTTTCTGAACAAAGTTTGTTTCCATCATTTTAGGTTCCAATATTCATTACCAAAAAAATGTGACTGATTAGAGAGCTCTTTTTGACTTTTTTCCCTTTTTCATTTCTGCAGAAGGATTCTGGTAATGATTTGCATTATTCATGCATAATTTAACCAAACTACTTAACAAGGAGGGAAAACTCACAGGATATTGAGAGTAGTCTTTTTGGAAGCATTTTGGCACTTGTAGTAAAGAGCTATTTATTCTCATCCAGAGTTTTCCTGTGAAACTTTTCTATTACGTCTTCAGATATCCCCAGCACAGGACAGACAACTCTTAAGAGATCTATCTTCTTTTTACACACTTACTTTATGTGTCAGCTTTATTCTGTGTCATCGGAGTCTCTTATATAAACGCTAAGATTTCTTCCTTCTCTTTTTCCCATTTATTCCATTCTAAGCAGTATGAAGAGTTAAAGAGTAATCATTTTTATTGTGTGTGTTTTTTTTTTAAGTGGGACTTCATTATGTGTAAACCAGGCTTTCTCAGTTATGCTTCATAGAAGGAATTGATGGAGCAATATCCTAAAATGCTGAAACACAAGACAAAAAATACTTTGGCTGTGGACCTGAATGAATGTGTTGTATTAATATAATATCTATCACCAGTTTATACATAGTGACCCAGTTGATGCATTTAAAATAAATAGGTGAGCCAAATAGTTTTAAATGATTGTTGATAATTCCCTGGTTCTTTTCCCATTTTAGCGCTGGATAAAGCAAGCCTTGGAAGAAGGGATGACCCAAACATCATCTGTATCCCAAGAGACTAGAACTCAGCACCTATACCAAAGTAATGAGAACAGTAATTCTAGTATCTGCAAAGACAATGCAGGTACGTATCACAAACCTTTCTGAATACATGAGCAATGATTGCTTTGGGTCTGCATTAAAAATTTCACTGAATACTTTAAAAAGTATGATATAAAAAAAAATAGCATTGTTCTCTAAATAGTTACTTTACATCTGTCTTTACAGAGGAAGAGAGAGATCTCAAGTCAGGGATCAGTATTCCCAGGACGGCAAAGAAGGAACTAGACAGTGTACAGATAACAGCAGAAATGGTTTTTTAAAAGGTTAGATACATTTAAAGTAGTAAGTTTAGGAGCTCTATATCCATATTTATAAGAGGGGAAATAAGAAAAGATGTGGGGCACTATTCAGGAAAGAATCAAAATTGTAGGTGATTGAGTGGGGTGGGACTTGTTGAAGGGGCACGGGGTGAGTAAAGTAAATGAGAAATTACTATGAATTGGTTGTTTTCAAAAGAGCTTGCACAATTAGTGTCAGTTTTTTAAAAGACATGACCTTGAATCCAATTTAAAGTCCTCATATGAATTTTTAAACTGGAGGGTCATGAAAAGTCATCTGGTCCATTGGTTTTGCTGTAACTCTTGCAGGGGTCTTGATTGCAATTGAAAGCACAGGTGCATGGACTTGATACCAACTTATTTGGGGTAGTTTTATTACCAAGTTTCTCTTGGCCAGTATTATTTTAATTGAAAAGTTCTGTGTGATTTCTGTTTCTTTATCTCTAAATCAATTTTGTGAATATTATGCAATCAAAACAAAATACCAAAATAAATACACTGCTAAAAGTCATGCAAGTCTGTACCTAACATAGTAATATTTCAAATTTTCATAGAAACCTCTTGTTCATTGCCTAAGTACATATGAACTTGAATTAAATAAAGAGATATGTACTAATAATATCTAGTTTTTACTAAAACTTTGTGTAAGATTGTATTTGGAAAAAATAATGCTGCTAAAAATAGGTTTTTTTCAAGTTATTGATTTAGTTTATTTTTCTATCCTTAGACTGGATTATACCTTGTAAGTTATCACGTATATAACCTCAATATAATAAAATCCCTGTGTAGAACATCTGGAAGATAAATGATACCATATATTTAAAATACTTTATTCTCTTCACCAGTGATTAGGAAGATTTACTTGAACCAGGTTCACATAAAGAAATGCTGGTAACAGATTTTTGTCAATTTTATCAGTTTATTGGCAGCTTTTACAGTACAGTGAGACTATAACAATTGGAATCTTCTACACATGCATGTGTAGTCTGTGTGTTGTGTATGTATGTATTTGAGGTTGGGAAAGGGAGGCTGTATTAGCAATTCATGTCTTGACTGGCAAAGATTCATAAGGAAAGTGCCTAGTTGGAATGGAGTTAAGACTGTCAGTCACCAACCTATATTAAAGTTCTCTCTTCTCCAGCATTGAGAAAGATTCAAAGGATACACCTTGCCCTTAAGCAACAACATAAACTGGAAAACATTTAATTGAAACCAAGCAGTACTCAAATGAGCATCTTGGTATATTGCTACTAGTATAAATCCTGAGGAGTTATTTTTATTTGTTGCTTTGCTTTCTTTGGTTTTGGGAGTTTTTTTATTTTGTTTTTCTTATCTCAGAAAGACCAAGGAGATATTAATCAAGAAAGCGAGACAGATTGATACAGTAGAAAGAATCCAACGGACCTGAATTTAATGATCATCTCTACCCTTTAGTAGTGCTAACTTCCCTGTAGCTCAGATAGTAAAGAACTGCCTGCAGTGCAGGAGACCAGGGTTTGATCCCTGGGTCGGAAAGATCCTCTGGAAAAGGGAACAGCGATCCACTCCAGTATTCTTGCCTGGAGAATCCCATGGACAGAGAAGCCTAGTGGGCTACAGTCCGTGGGGTTGTAGAGTTGGACATGACTGAGCCACTAACACACACACACCCTTTACTAACTCAGGCAAGTTATAAAATATCTCTGAGGCTCATCCTGTGAAAACGGGTATAGTAATACCTGCCTTGTAGAGCTAATATGAGAGTAATGTACATAAAGTACAGTATCAGACCCTCAGTAGGAATTATTATTGTCATTATTATACACAGATTTCTTGTTGAACATTTATGGAAAATTTAGAGAAATTAATCATATACTAGGATACATGAAGTTTCTTAAAGCTAAAGTTGTGTAGAAATAGTATTAACTCTGCAGGCAAGGGCGAGTGTAATGTTCATTATTTGTAAATGATGTGGCTATATACCTAGGAGTCTAAATAATTGAAAAAAATAAACGGCTGGATATATAAAAATTAATAGCATTTATGTACCCAGAAAATAAATGAAGGAAAATTTTCATTGCTGAGCTCAACAAAATGAAGAAACTGCCTAGGAATAATGGTGGAGACATGCAGAACAAAGCATTACTGAGGAATATTTTTTTGTCTTGAGGAAATAAAGGGAACTTCCATATTCCTTAATGGAAAGAGGAAATATAATGAGTGTTTTTTTTTTTTTTCCTTGTCTTCATACAGTTTCCATCAAGCTAGTTTGTTTGGGGGTTTGATTTAATTATCTTGGAAGTTTATCATAAACAAACATGAAGGTAACTAAGAACAATTGAAAAAGTAATGACGCAGAAGTGCCTACCTAGCAGTATAAAGCGCGCTTCTCGCGTGAGGCTGCGAGTCAGTGACTAGGTCAGTGCAGGTTCAGCAGCACGCGTGCGTGTGTGTGTGTGTGTGTGGAGCAGAATAGCCAGAAACAGGCTTTATGTAAGCGAAAGATTCTGTAAACTATTCTATAAGTTTTACTTACGTGGGAGATGGGAAAGAATTAGATCTTTGCCAAAGTAAATTCTGTGTACATTCATTGTTTGGCTTTGATTTCTTTTTTTAATTAAAGTTTCTATGTCTTTAGCTCTCTGAACTGATAGAGGACAAAAGTACTGGGAGAAAGGATTTGCAAAAATGACAGGGAAATAATATCTCTACTAGAAATTTGAGAGGATTTATCATATGCATTTTTAAAAACCTAGGAGTAATTTTTCTAGCTACTTACTGTACAGATTGTAGAGAAGTAGGTATGGACTTAAAAACAGAAGTAGACGATGGGCTTTTGCACAGTCTTAGTCATGAAATTATTAATAATTGCCAGTAATACTGAATCAAAGTGACCTGGGTGTCAGTGAATAAAGAAATGGTAGAATTTGTGGTTTACCTTCTATTGCCTATATTTTTGATGAAATACTATACAGTAGCATTAAAATTTTTACTGTTGATTTATTTTATCAAATTAATCTCCTAAAAACAGTACAGTACTACTTTTGAATTAAATTTCAGTCATCTGAATGTTGACTCTGTAAGAATACTATTGTTATGACCAAATAAAAATTTTCCATGGAATGTAAATGAGGTTCAATACTTGAAATTTTATTCATATAATAATTTATTAGCAAACCAAATGGAAGAGGAGGGAGTAATAGCATAGTAAATGTGATTTTAATGATAAATCTAATAAAATAACATACTGAATGATTTTCTTATTTTACATCTATCTGAAAACAGTTGCCAGGTATACTTCATGTTGAAAAATAGAGTAAACCTTCTAAATGGGTTATCAGATTATCCCAGTATTACCATTCTTATTTAACAACATTTAGAATTGTTGTCCAAACTGATTATCAAAAAAAAAAAAAAAAACCTAAAAAACAATGAGCTAAAAGTTTTGGCAGGTATACTTCATGTTGAAAAATAGAGTAAACCTTCTAAATGGGTTATCAGATTATCCCAGTATTACCATTCTTATTTAACAACATTTAGAATTGTTGTCCAAACTGATTATCAAAAAAAAAAAAAAAACCTAAAAAACAATGAGCTAAAAGTTTTGGTAAAGAGGATGTATAGATTATCATTGTATACAAATAATATGCTTCTCTACTTAGAAAAGCCAACAGAATTAACTGAAAAGCTAGTAGAGGTCAATAGGGTAGCTAGATATAAAAATGTGTACCATACTGAATGATTTCCTTACCTGTTAGCAGTGACATCTAACTGACATAGGGAGAAGTGCATCTACTTAACAGTAGTAACGGAAAATAGAGAACACTGGAGAATAGACCTAATTTAGAAATGCGGCAAATCTGTAATGAAGCAGTATAATGGATTCTCTGGCGGTCCAGTTGTTAGGACCCCACGTTCTTACTGTCGAGGGCCTGGGTTCAACCCCATAAGCTGTCAAAATATTAATAATAATGATGAGCAATATGAATGAAGGCATAAGTAGGTGAAAGATCATGCCACAGTGCTCAGTGAGAATTCTCCACAGATTACTCATGAATTTAATACAGCCCCAATCAGCCTTGGGAAGGGGAAGTATCAGCATAGTTGACCAACGATTTCTACAATTCATTGACATGAACAAGTATGCTAGAATAGGCAAAATAATTTGGAGAGCTAGAATAGAATAACTGGAATTGTCCAAACAATTTTACTAAAAGTGTACAGAATAACATTCAGAACTAAACTTAGTATCTAGTAGGATAAATGTCATATTTCAAATCAGTATAGAAATATGATTATTCTATAATTACAAAATAATTTGGAAGAATATGCTAGCCATTTGCCCTTTCAAAAGGTTAGAACATTCTGAGTTAAATTCGAAAATTAAATATGGAGATAATGGAAAAATAGGTCATTTTTATAGTCTTGGGGTGGGGTGACAAAGACATGTCTGAGGCAGAAAATAAAGGAAATAGTTGATACATTTGACTAAATACAAATATAAACTTTGTATAGCTAAAAAAGACTTAATAAAATCAAAATATAATTATAACATTTTTGTCACTGTAATGGAAAGATTTTTACTATGAGTGAAGATAGCAGTTATTTATTCAGTGTAATTTAGACAAGGAATCAGTAAGGCCATGTTAAGAAAGAGATTGAAAAAAAAAGAAAAGAAACAGATTGAGATGAAAATACCCCAGGACATTAGCAGTGCATTAATTTGTGAATATGATTTCAAGTTAAATATGTGTTTCAATATGTGGATGTTTGTTTATATATCTTGGGAATTACTTAAGTTAAAGGTACAAAACCATAAAAGATAGATTTAACCAGGAAATTTGATAGCTGTGTATGACAAAAAGAAGAAAAATGAAACTTTAAAAGAAAATTTTGTAAATATAGTATTGTTCCTATAAAAAAGTAGGCACATTACCACTGGCCTGTAAACTTGATAAAGGATGAGTGCTAGGTCTCTTTCATTAAATATGATAAATACTCAATAAATATATTTTTAACAAGTAAACCTATAAGTTGATTTGGAGATAGGAGAGTTCAGCTGAACTTTATAACTTTTCTACAATGAACTTTATAACTTACATAATTGCTTTTAGTAGTTACAGTGTTGGACCTAGCAGTATAGTGGTCTTTTAAAAGATTCGCTGTTGAAGACTCTTGAACTATATAAACCTAAATGTAAGTTATGAATCACATGTTTGTTTTCTTTATACCTAGGCACTTATCAGAAGGAGAAAAGAAAAACATAGTTATCTGGAACAGAAGGAAAATACAAACATACTTCTACTCTAGGAAAATTTTTTTAATTTTTTAGATACTTGAAAGGAAAAATACGTTTCTCCAGTATTTTTTGCTTTTTTTTCTTCTCTGTTTCACCCTCTATTGCCCTAGTTTAGTGCTTCATAACTCTTTCTGTATAACTCCTCCATTAACTCCAAATAGTTCCCCAGTGTTAATTCTCATGCTAACCATTGCTACCAGGGGAATTGTTCTGAAGCATAGCTGTGCTGCTGTCCCAAAACATTTCCTCAACAGCTTGGGAGGAAACCTAATCATTTAACCTAATGATTAAGAATGTAGATGGGAACCAGATTGCCTACTCCTTCTTTAAAATAGGAATGCTAATACTAGTACTGGATTTATAGAGTTACTCAGGTTAAACCTGCTAATTCACATGAAGCACATAGAATAGTGCCTGGTATGTAATAAGCCCTTAAAAGCATAATTTTTTTTTCCCCCTATGCATAGCAGTATGACCACCTCTGTTGAGGTTCTTAAATTTATATTAAACATGTTTTATGTATGTTTTCTTTTTCTTATGCTTTCATAAACCCTTTTAAAATAGAATATATTTTTAAAAGTAGAGTATATGATAACCATTATCCCCCACATACCTAGTTCAGTGGTTTCCACATAAGAAGTACTAAACAAATAAATAGCTTGAAACTGTGAACGAATAAAAATAGATTTTTCCTTTAAGAAAGTGAGATGGGTGCATTGCCCTGAGTAGTAACTAAAACTTAAAGCATGTTAACTTTCTTTCAAAGTGGAACTAAGAAGTCTACCGTAGAAAGTAGGATATTCCAATCAGAAAAAGAGTACCAGCCTAATTTTTGAAAATGAGGTTTATATAAAAATGATTTCACACTTCGACGCACTCTAAAACTAAGTACTCAGTAAGGATCAGGTAATCATGTGTAACTCTCTCCTGCTGAAGCAGAATATTATGTAAAGAGCTGCTAAAGAATGGAAAAATATATAAAAGCTTGAAACTGAGTTGGTGAACCAACAATTCGACAGGGAGTGATTTTAACAGAGACAGATTTGAGGGTTTTTTTTAGAATGTGAAAAATATAAATTTATGTTTTCCACTACAGGAGATTAAATTAGCTCCAGGGATTAGTTATTTAAAGTGTCAGATTCATCTGATGAGTTTTTGGGAGGTTGGAGAGTTTTGAGAATCATTTTTAAGTGTGGCACTTAAAGAACCTTTGGGCTTTTGGTTTGATTGCAGGAGATAACAGTGGGGTGAGGCAAAAGTGGAGTTTTGAGCCATTGTGGGCTAGAGATTAATGGCTTCACTGCAAGTATCCCTTTAGGCTGTAATTTCAAACCTCTCATCCAAGCTTTGTATTTCACAGACTTGTTGAGCCCATTAAAGAAATGGAAGTCTCGCTATCTGATGGAGCAGAATGTCACCAAGTTACTGCGGCCTCTTTCTCCAGTCACACCACCCCCTCCCAATCCAGGCTCAAAGAGCCCCCAGCTGACCACACCTGGCCCATCTCACCCTGAAGAGGAGTGTCGAAATGGATACAGCCTCATGTTCTCACCAGTCACATCTCTTACTACTGCTAGTCGCTGCAATACTCCTCTGCAATTTGAGGTGATTTGGGTTTGGTTGTTGGGAGTTCTGAATATGAAAATCATCATTGGCACCTCCTCATTTCAAATATAATACCATTCCAAATGTTTCTTTACCATGTCCTTTGCCCACCTTAGCAAGAGAATGGGAAACCTCAGGGTCATTGTGACCTATTACCTGGTAGCCTCTCATCTTGGCAGTCTCTATACTTACCAAAATAGGAAGAGTACTCCCACAGGTGACACTCATCTATCTTTTGCATGCAGTTCATCAACCTCCATACCTTTAGGTGGTAGTCATGCTAGACCTTCATCTTTACCTTTACTGTATGCCTTGGTTAAAATTGGCCTCTAGCTTCCTAGTAACCATTAAAATGACACCAACCTGAGAGTGCAGATTATAGTGATTGGTTGTGCCTCCGTTTCTTGGCCTTTAAATCAGTGAAGTGTCTTTGTTATTTTGCATTCTCTTTGTGGCCTCAGTAAACAGATTCAGAAAGCATTGAGGTATGGTTTATGGCAAATTAGGATTTTCATTTCCAGGTTACTTTCCCTTCTTGTAATAATGTGTTAGAGATGAGAAGTAGAGGCTAGCAACATGCATTTATTTATAAGAACCAGATTTATTGCTTACTCTGGTCACGTGTTTCAAAAAGTCAATTCTGAATTGCGTTAGTGTTCAAGTTTGAGTAATAGTAGGTTTATTGAATAGAATTCATGTGAGTGCATTAAAAAAAAACTACTGCATGTTGCTTTGACTTCTAATTAAACAGACACTGTTCCCTCTCAGAAAAATTTGTATTGATGACTAAACACAGCTTGGACTTCTCCAGATGTCTTGTTTGATAAAGGTGAATGTTCTAATCAGTGTCATCCTACCTATTCAGTTTTTAAAAGAGGACGGGAGTTAAAAAGACCTGAACGATTAAACAGCTAACTCAGAAAGGTAGCTAGCAACCTTGAAAATAAGAGGAAGCTATATTCTGTGCCTAAACTATGTTAACTTACTTTTGAAGCAAACCTTTTTCTGAGAGCGGGGATAAAAAACCTTCCTGGTCACATATGATTTCTAGGGATTCTCCAGGCAAGAATACTAGAGTGGGTTGCCATTTCCTTCTCCAGGGGATCTTCCCAACCCAGGGATCGAACCCAGGTCTCCTGCGTTGCAGGCAGACGCTTTAACCTCTGAGCCACCAGGGACGCCCAGGGGAAGCTATCCTTTACCAAATTCCTGATGACATTCTTTCAAGCCAGATGGTAAAACATCTGATATGGGCCTTACTAAGTGTACTTGGATCTAATTGCAGCTGACTTTTCATTTGGCAGCTGAAGTTTGATGGTAAAATTTCATGAGAGGACATTCTCCCTGTTGGGCAGTAGATTATAAGAATAGAATTTCATAGTTTATTATAATTAAAGGTAAAATTAGAAGAGGAGTTGCCTTCTAGAACAGACAGGTTTAGCACTCAGTGTATATCCTACCCCTTGTAGCGTTTTGGATAACTATGAAACACTATGCAAATGTAAGGGTTTTGTTTTGTTTTGTTCTTTTTCAAAGATCATTTTAGTGATGCATAGTCTAAGCATGATGTTAGAACACGAGGAAAGAAAGAAAATATTATAGTATATTAAATAACTCATCCCTTCAAAAAGTTCAGTGTATATTTTCACTATTTTAGTCTCATGATTTAACTAAGAAAATTTGGCCTGTTTCATCGATTCAAAAAAAACCCAGATTTCGTCATCCTGGCTGTCTTTATCACCATTTTAATGGCCATACACTTTCCTGTATTCTAGTATAGGGAAGTAGGGAGCCTTATTTTCACCTAAGACTGTGACACACAAATAGCAGAGAGATGGCGCAAGTAAGATCAGTTTATTGGGGAAAGAATATTTTTAAAAGGAAAAATAAGGAACCTTCCAGAAGAAAAGTGAGAAATGCTAAGGGGATGAGTTGAAAAGACATGTAATAAAAAAATAAGATCATGAGAGGGAAGCATCAAAAAAAGAGTAAGCCGCATTGGGAGGGCAAGCTTAACGAACCCCTTCTTTCCACCGAAATAACCTTTCCCTTCCTGCCTTGAGAGCCGTACCCCATTATCCAGTCCACACATACAACACCCCACCAAATGAAATTATTAACAGCCAGTAGCCCTGCTGAAGCAGCCTCATTTCCTCTGCCACAGAACTGTTCAGCCACCCAGGCCACAGCTATCCAGAGGCTGCGTTAGAAACCCTCCTCTTTCCTTGTCACAGCTACCACCATCATTCCCTGCTTTCCCTGCTTTTTCCCTCCACATCTTCCTATCCGAACCCACTGCCCAGTTACTGTTTCACTCAGGAGTGCTGCTTCAGGCAACAGTCCTAAGGATAAGCCCTTGTTCAGGACCAGAGGCTTGAAGTGTACACATCTGCTGCTGTTGTTTTTTTTTTTTTTTTAATCCTTTTCTCTCTGTTCCTCAAAGTACAGTGGATTATGTTACGAACCATCTAGCCTGTGAGCTGGAGAATCCATCAGTCATAACTCCTGCAACTGTCGTTCAGGAGGAACTGGCCATCTCCCTAGCCCTGACAGCCCCCTGCATGCTAAGCAGTTCCCCTGGGTAAATACGGCAGGCCTGAGTCCCACAAGAGAAAGAGAAAATGTGGCGTTCAGAGGAGGGTGTGGGGTGAAGAGGAGAGGTGCCCTGAAGCATGAGGGATGAGTCATAGGGTGCCTGTCAGTAACAGTTACTACAGGTTACTAAAATCTGTCTAACACAGAAAGACATAATGTAACAGTATAAAACCTCACCAATTTAATAACTCTTGTTGTCCGCTTGAGATGTTTACTTATAGCATGAAACATAACCAGTTTATCCTTAAATGCTTTCAGAGACTCCAGGAAGCATTTTAACAAGTCATTCTGTCCATTGAGATGATTCTGCATTTAAGCATTTCCCTTGTGCATTCTTATCCCTCTCCCTGCCCCACCCCCACCTCCCCCCCCCCCCCAAATTTGTGGCTAACCATCTATGCTTGCTTTTGCTTTATTTTTTGTTTGTTTTGTTTTGCTTCTTTGAGTAGATGAATAACAAGATGCTTTTCCCTCCTCTAGAACATATCCTCCCCTGAGAGTTCCCCTGCGAATAGGCCCGAGTCCCTGTCACCCGAGGTAGTTATCACACCATCTCAATCACACTTGGAGGCTCTGAGTGAGTGGGCATGAGTGTGTTCCTGCGTGTGTGGGGAGGGCTTGGGGGATCCGAGTGAATGGGGTGATGGGCTGGAGGGTGGCCGATTGGTCACACTGTAAGGTGAATGAATCTTCCCATGTGTGACTGTGGTTACTCAGAATTCTCAATGTAGATGGAGGAAAATGAAGTAGGGGTGTGTGGGTGTGTGTGTGTGTGTGTGTGTGTATGGTGGGGTTCGTTTTTGTTGTTTTTGAGGGGAGGGCGGTGGGTATGGCTGAAGAGTTCTTTTAAAGTAGGATAGAATCTAGAAGTCAAGTTTAAAGGAGCTGAAAATGCGGGAACCTTGTTAAAGTCTAACAAAGTGTGTTTGTTAAGTAAGGAAGGTTAAATCAACAGTTGGTAGGAGCTGTCTTTTGATATTTATTATCTTGGACTTGATGAAGGAGCAGCTTATATTTTAAAAGTTAGGCAGTGATTTATGCTTTATTCCAGAGTTAATCTGACAGCTCTTTTTAACTGGATGTTTTGAGCTTTGGTTGATAGATTAAGCATCTTCTTTAGAAAGGCAGAGTCATACCTCTTAGCTTAAATCAGCCCATGGGTTCTGTGACTCAGGCATCCATTCTACAGTGGTTGGGGAAATGGTTGCTGTACAGATGGTATCTCTTAGAATAGCAAATCTTACTGCTATGGAGATGTTAAATTCACATGTTAGTGCTAGAGTTTCTTAACTTGTTACAAGATTTCAACAAAAGTAGCAGTGATAACTCCATGAATCCACATGGAGCCTTACTCCTCGTGAAAAGAAAGTTACAGTCTCTCATAAACTTTCAGAAATTAAGAACTTTTATTCCCATACCCTTCCAGTAAAACGTTAGTGCTAAACTCAGTGACAGGTGACCAAATTCTGACTCGGTAGGATTTTATAGATCAGTGTGAAACTAAAGATTGTATTCTAGTGTACTAGAGGTTTTCTGACTGGTATTTTTTAGTCTTATTTTGTAAGGAACATAAAGCTCTCTCTCCTCAGTTGCTAAAGATTCTAAGTTAGAATAATTTGGAGGCTGACAATGTTGTATTATCTGGGTTTCTGATTCTGTTCTTTCTAGAGAGTTAGCTATAGTGGACATAGTGACAGGAAATCTTTGATGTTAGGAGGTAATGATGACCAAGTAGATGGGTTTATTTTTGGTATGTTTCAGCATTTCAGATGCTCTGCAGTGATGAACATTAGTCAGGTCTTGTGGTATGTTGACATACATTAGAGGATGCAGAAAGAATTGAGTGACCAGAAAGTTTATGAAAAACACACATACTTAATAGTGAAAGTGAGTGAAGAACTGGTTGGTTGATGTCTTCAACTAATACCATTCTCCTTCCCTGAACCAATAACTTAAATACTTGACTTTTCGTCTACTTTCTACTTTTTTTCACCTTTTCCCCTCCTCCCACCTTCCATCAATATTAGTTTAGAAATGAATAACACCAGAAGCCAGTTATCTTAAGACACCATTCTCATCTCTGTGGCTCCATGGGGCTCAGGTAAATCCCTGATTATACTGCCAGTCCCTGATTGCAGTGCAAGGTGACTCAGCAAACCTGATGAAAGGCTAAGCAGGCAAAATAGTCACATTTGGCCAATTATCTAATTCTGATTTTCCCAGTATTCTCATCCAAAGACTTTAAATCAGATTTACTTTGGGAAAGGCCAGGATTCTTTGGTAATCTGGCATGTGTACACTGGTGCTACATGGGACCTTTACAGGTGTTAATGGCTTTCTCTATTCTACTTTCGTCCCTCTTACCTCTCCCTGTTCACCTGTGCCCCCTCATTTCCCTTCTTTTCTGCCCTTTGACTTTTTCCTTTCTCCCCTACCCCATGTCTCCGTTGATTTTTATTCTTTCAGCTTTGTCACCGAAAAGACCTGGACTTGACAAAAGTAGGCTACCTTGACTCCAACACTAACAGCTGTGCTGACAGACCTTCCCTGATCAACTCGGGTCATTCTGACCTGGCTCCTCATCCCTCTGTTGGACCCACCTCTGAGACTGGTTTTACAAGCAGGAGTGGAGATGGACATCAGACTCTTGTGAGAAACTCGGACCAGACATTTCGGACAGAGTTTAACTTGATGTATGCCTACTCCCCATTGAACGCTATGCCTCGAGCAGATGGACTGTATCGAGGGTCTCCCCTGGTAGGGGATAGAAAACCTTTACATTTGGATGGGGGCTATTGTTCCCCTGCAGAAGGGTTTCCCAGCAGATATGAACATGGTTTTCTGAAAGACCTCTCTCGTGGATCAATGTCACCTGGTGGTGAAAGGACTTGTGAAGGAGTCCCATCTGCCCCCCAGAACCCACCACAGAGGAAAAAGGTAAGTGTTTCACATTTTGTAGACGTTTTTGAAGAACATTAACTGAATAAGTAAGTACTCACTGCATTACCACTGTGTTTTCAGCACTGTTCTCAGTGTGAGGAAAATGAAGATCAGTAAAACACAGTCTCTTGGCATGTTCAGTGAAAGACTATATTAATACAATTTGATGAGTGTTGTAAATATTAAGCAAATTTAAATGCTTCTCATGTATGTGTCATGCAGTTGGCTAGGCAATTCAAAGGATAAAGCAATGAAAAAGAATAATGCTACTTTACATGTCTTATGCTACTTTTCATGTCTGGGCACCATTAGGCTCTTCTATGCATTTAGCCTCAAAATAGTCCTATAAGATGGGTAATTTCCCATTTTACAAATGATGGAAATTAAGACCAGTTGCATAACTTGCCCATGGTCACACAGATAGTATATGGATGAGCTCAGACACTCCCCAGGTCTGCCTGATTCCAGATTGTATGCTCTTACTGCCGCCATGCTGTATCGCCACTTTGATGTTGCCCTAATGGAGCTTATAGCAAGTGAGACTGAGCTTAGCAGATAATGATATTAATGATGAGAAAAAAGAACAACTTAATAGAGGAAACCTGGCCAATCAGTCAACATATTGAGGGATGAAGATGCTACAGAACAGAGCAGACCAAGTAGCTGTGACACTCCATTGAGTGGGCAGCAGGGATGTGATATGATTGCAGTTTAATGTTGCTGTGGTAGCAGGTGAGAAGTAAGGAGAATAGAGGTGGGCAGGGCCCACCTGCAGGGCCAGGTCCCAGAAATCTGGTTTGGGGCTTGACTTGTAGGTGATGCCTGTTCTAGAAATTATGAAGCCAAAAATCTGCATTTTATGTCAGTGATTGTCAACTAGGTTTATTTGGAAATGCACGGGAGTATTTTGAGCTATCCAATCAACTTCCATTACTGGTCAATCTAGAGATGCTTAAATGTCCTCTGTGTATGACAGTCTCACATAATTGCAAAGTATCTATGGTACTCTTGTTCACATGTAGGCTGGTGGCTTTTTATCTTTTCATTGCAAAGAAATACATTACCAGAATTCTTACACTAACTCGTTTCCATGATTATGTATATAAATTGCATACACAAAATTGTCTTACTTTGTATTTTTGCTATATTTTATATTTGAACAGAAAATTGAGAGCCCTAAGTGATTAAAAGGAGAAAACACTGGCAGATAATTTGTAATAAAATAGAATTAGGGGGACTTCCTTGGCAGTCTAGTGGTTAAGATACTGAGCTTCCACTGCAGGGGGCTTGGGTTGGGTCCCCAGTCGGGAAACTAAGATCCTACATGCCAGGAGGCAGGGCCACCCTGCCCCCACCCCCCACCAAAAAAAAATTAGCATTAGGTTTAGAATACTGTTGCATGAGACTCACAGATTTAGAAAACAAACTTAACGGTTGCTGGAGGGGAGGGGGGACAGTTAGAGAGGTTGGGATCGACATGTCCACACTGCTGTATTTAACATGGATAACCAACAAGGTCCGACTATATAGCACAGGGAACACTGCTCAATGTAATGTGGCAGCCTGGGTGGGAGGGGGATTTCAGGGGAGAATGGATACATGTATATGTATGGCTGAGTCACTCTTTTGTGCACCTGAAACTGTCACAGCATTGTTAATCAGCTATACTCCAATATAAAATAAAACATTTTTTTAAAAAAAGATTACTCTTGCACGAACAGTATTGACTAGCAGGAACAAAAATGGTAACAAGTCTTTGGATTTCTGGTTTCATTTATTATGTACAAAAATGATTGAAATCATGATCTGTTATTTCAGAAATATTGTTGAGCACCTGCTATCAGGCAAGTTCTGTGCTGTACACTAAAGACAAAAAGCCAAATAAATTTGATCTCTGCCCTTGCAGAACATGACAGTTTATAAGTATACAAAACACTGTGTTGGGTCGAAAGCCAGTGTTAGCACAGTGTGCTGTGACAGCCAAAAGGGGATATCCTAGGTGGGGCAGGGAAGAGGGCTTTCGGTGTGCAGTCAGGAAAGAATAAGGCAGAGAAATGGCAAGTTGGGGAGAAGTTTCCAGCTGCAGGTTTTCTAGAGCTGGCACAACGATACTGATTTCTGGGGACTGAGGAAGAGACTTTCTCACACTGCACAAACTCCCAGCTCTTACCCTTCCCTTTTCATGTATTCTTGTTTATTTCTGGCCATGCCACGCAGCATTTGGTATCTTAGTTCCCCAACCAGGAGCTGAACCTGTGCCCCTGCCTTGGAAGCGCAGCGTCTTTCCCACTGGACCACCAGGGGTACCCCACCTTTCCCGGTGCTACCTTTGTTGCAAATAACTGTGATAGCACACTTCTGTTACATGGAACTGTGATCTCACAGGTTTTTCTGAAGGCAGAATAAAGATTGAGGTCTATTGGTAAATGCCATTTTTCAGAAATGTCATCTCCTGGTGTATTCTCTTTTTCTTACCAGTGTCCCACTGAGGTAAATATGTAGCTGTGCTCAGGTCGCTCTCTCACCTGGAAAAAGTCACCTGCTTTGTTTGCCTGGCCTGCTGGCAGTTTCCTGGGGTTCCATGTTCTTTCCCCGTTGCTAGTGATCCACAAATGATGTCTATCTGGAGTCCTGTTTCTTTTTTCCTTCCTAGGTATCCCTGCTGGAGTACCGCAAACGGAAACAAGAAGCCAAGGAAAATTCTGCTGGTGGGGGAGGTGACTCCACACAGAGCAAAAGCAAGTCTGCAGGAGCTGGGCAAGGCGGCAGTAACTCACTTTCTGACACTGGTGCCCATGGTGTGCAGGGATCCTCAGCCCGAACCCCATCTTCCCCTCACAAAAAATTCTCCCCATCTCATTCCTCTATGTCTCATCTGGAGGCAGTAAGCCCATCAGATTCCAGAGGCACTTCGTCTCACTGCAGACCTCAAGAGAGTATCAGCAGTAGGTGGTAAGTTTAAGTTTGATGCTCTGATGATTAAATTCAGGAGGGAAATAAATCTCTAGACTCTTTACCTAAGATGTATGGAAACACTTGAGAAAGCCAGCCAGCAGTACCATGTACCATATTCGGCTGATTTAATAGTATCAGTCACAATCCCCGAGCTTGACAGAAGCAAACGATTTGCACCGAGCCTGCAGAACAATATGGTGGACGGCATATAGTTGTGGAAACAGAGGAGCTATTTTATTCACTGGGCACTAACACTGCCGCTTCTCTTTTCTCATTTCATGTGCAAGGTAAGTCAGGAGATGAGCTCAGTTCCACTGAAATTAACATCAGGTGTCTCAGCTCCACACGGCTAGCATATATAGAGAGTTGGGACACACTCCTGAAAGGATTTGTCTAGTTTAAGAGAGACAACAAAAAAAGAGAGAGAGAGAGACAACAAATAAATAGATAATACTAATGTCAGGTACTAAGTATCAGATGAGTGAAATAAAGAATGAGATATTCTAGGGAAATTGAACTGAAGAAATGAGTTCTGGGAAAGAAGAGACATGGCTCAAATGAGTAATGTTCATTCATCTGTGAAACATTACTACTACCTGCCAGTCACATGACTTCACAGAAGAAAAAAACAGCATTTAAAGATGGAGGTTAAAAGCAGTAGACACCTCTAAATCCCCCTTCTCCTTGGTTGTTTTTTCTTAAAGTGTTTATTCTTAGGTGCCTGACATAGTCTGAGGCAGAGAAAATACTTTGTTTTAAATTGGTTCTGAAGAAAATAATGTTTTAAAAGAGGATGTTTTAAGAAACATTGTATAGCTATTTGTCAGAGCCTTGTCTGTTCCATACTCTTAACTCTCAAGGCCTGTGGCATAAGTGTACACCCTGTTGCCTTCACAGGATGGTTCCCACATCGGTAGAACGACTCCGAGAAGGAGGGAGCATCCCCAAGGTCCTCCGAAGCAGTGTGAGGGTGGCCCAAAAAGGAGAGCCTTCTCCCACGTGGGAGAGTAACATCACAGAGAAAGACTCAGGTGAGCCGATGACCTTCTTCTGCCAGCCAGGTTCAGGGACACATGAGCCAGGTTCCACACAGTTCACATCAAATGCTGGGCTGAGGTGAGTCCATTTCTTAATGAGGTTGGGCTCCCTTACATGCAAAGGTCCAGCTCAGTCTTGCTTTCATTTTCTTGGCCTATAGCATTCTTAAGGTCTAGCGTTGCTTGCTCTCTGTCTGCTCTTTTTTCCCAAAGGATACCTTTCTGTAACTCATCTCTCCAAAGCCCTGGGAATCACCTTGATGAAGGATGAAGAGAAAGAAGGAGACAAATCAGATCAGGCATTTAAAACAGCCCATAATTAACCACTCATTTTGCCCTTCTGGCATGTTGCACTCACCTGATTTATCAGAGAGCATCATGGGTTGGTGCTGGCATTGGTGACTTGAATGAACAATGGCTCTCTCTCATCCATTCTTAGTGAGTTGATTTTGTATTACCTTCCAGACCCTGCAGATGGTGAAGGCCCAGAGACATTGAGCTCAGCACTCTCTAAAGGAGCGGCCGTTTACAGCCCTTCCAGATACAGCTACCAGGTGAGGCAAGAAAGTGCTCATCTCTGGGCATAGGAGTGTGTTCTGGGTTCCAAATGTTTTGTGATCCTGGCCGTCCTTTGCAGTTGAGATGTTGTCTTTGCATATAGTTTCAGCAGCCTTGGAAATAAGTCATCATCGGCTCACCTTCAGGTAATAAATCATGCCAGAAAATTGAAGTGACCAAAGACAGCCATTTTACTGTCTCTGGTATCCTAAAAAGAACAAATGTTTAAGAAGATAAAGAAGAAGAAGAAGAAAAAGTAGGGTCTTTTAAATATTCACAAGCCTCGAAGGCTTAAACAGGGACTTGTTCACCTCCTTATGCTTTTCCTCCCAACTCTTTCTAGCTCCTGCAGTGTGATAGTCCACGGACAGAATCACAAAGCCTCCTTCAACAGAGTTCCTCCCCCTTTAGAGGACATCCCACCCAGTCTCCGGGATACAGTTATCGAACTACTGCACTGAGACCTGGGAACCCCCCTTCTCATGGTTCTTCAGAATCCTCCCTCTCTTCCACGTCCTATTCCAGCCCCGCCCACCCTGTGTCCACAGACTCGTTGGCCCCATTTACGGGGACACCAGGGTATTATAGCAGCCAGCCACATTCTGGAAACAGCACCGGCAGCAGTCTTCCTCGGAGGAGCTGCCCTTCTAGTGCTGCTAGCCCTACCCCACAGGGCCCCTCAGACTCGCCGACCTCAGACTCGGTTGCCCAGTCCAGCACAGGAACTCTGAGTTCCACCTCCTTTCCTCAGAACTCTAGGTCGTCACTGTCATCAGACTTCCGGACTATCAGTCTGCCCAGTGCTGGGCAGTCAGCTGCCTACCAGGCCTCCAGGGTATCTGCGGTTTCCAATTCACAGCACTACCCACATCGAGGGAGTGGGGGTGTGCACCAGTACCGACTCCAGCCACTGCAGGGGTCGGGGGTCAAGACTCAGACAGGACTTTCCTAGGGCTTCTGGATTTGGGCAAACAGAACTTGAATGAGCCCATAGCTGCTTCCTTCCAGCTGCCTCTGGAACCTAGGCCGAGCATATTGCTGGGGAAGGGGGTACAAGGTGCCAGAGGATTGGGTCTGGTCGACAAGAAACAAGACTTGTGGTCACGACTGGCTCTGGCCTTGGAGAAAGATGTAAATCTTGTCTGAAGCAGAGACTATAAAGAAGTTTCTCCCTGCTGTTAAGGGTACATTGTTGACAAGCAAATGGTGTTTCGGTTAGTAACGATTCTAAGTGCAATGAGTTGTGTTGAAGCCTCCATCTCCCATCCTTGCCTGTAGCCTGTAGTCACTTGTGCAGTGAGGACATCTTTTTAAATCCAAAAAAGAAAAAGGTTTTCAAAGGAAAAAAAAGGTGAAAAGAGCCAATCTCAAAGCCCCAAGCCATCTGAGTAGTGTTAGGGTTTTATGCACTTAAGAAAAAAAAGGGGGTATATAAAACAACCATTCCAAAAGCAGGTATCTGGCCAAGGTGTGTTCATTGAGAATATTCCTTACCTTTGTCTTAAAAACACCAAGAGGCAGGGATAGTGAAGCTTGGTGTGTGCTCTGAGGGGTTCCTGGATCTCTGAAAAAGTACTCGTGGTCAGTTCTTGATTATTCAGAAGCAGGTTATCCTAGTAGATTGTCTGAGCCCCCAGCTGGTACCAACCCACTCCCCTTCCCCAGAATATTTCACAGCTCAGTAACCCATGAAGTAAGTAGGCAAAGAAAAGAGAGATGGGCCAATTGCATTGCTACTTACCAGCCATTGGCAATGCATTTGATTAGGAAGAGTCCCAAGTAGTTTTGGAGTTCTTTGAATTTTTATTTTTTCTACTCCCAGTTAATCAGGAGTTGCCGATCCCCTGAGTAGGACCGCCTCCATGATTGGAGAGCATGCACTCGTGACTGCAGGGTAAGAGTGAAAAGCTTTGATTGTGGAATGGCACCGACAGGACTGTGATTGTGTGTGGGCATGTCCCACGTTTCTTTGGGAGATGCTTATTTGAGAGTGGCCCAGGTGAGAGTGCTGTGAGGCCGCCCACACGCCTGATGACAGCTGTTCTGGATGAGAGATGAGCGCAGACTGGCTTCTCCCCTCAGTGCATTGTGCCTGTTGTACGCCCCTGGAGGCGCCCTGGAGCCGGCCAGGCGGGGTACACAATCTTTTTAAATTCCATACGGTTGCCAGCTTATTTCTTTCACTGTTTACTGTAATCCGGCGTGTTTTTATTTATCTAATTTTTGTATTCAGTTATAACCATGGTAGGGGTAGCAAATATCTGACAGGTGTAATCCCTGGTGCTGCAGTGGACCTTACTTCTTTCTTTTGGACAAGATAATACTGTGAGTCTCCCTCCTTCCTCCCCTCCAGTTTGTTTTCTCCTTTTTTCCCTCAGCCTCTTGCACCCCCTTTCTTTGTACCCTCTCCTCCAACTATCATATGCACAGTCTTCTCTCTTTGTGTGTGACTGTTACAGAATTTCACTTTTTCAAAATTCAAATCAGGTGTTTGCTCAAATGAGGGGAGATTTTTTTTTAATGCTGAAAAGTCAGCAGAATACTTTTCTTTATGTTGTTTCCCCCACAAACCCATCAGTCTGGGAGAGCGTTGGGAGTGGAAATCATGTTGCCTGGGATGCTGGTTTCTTTGTATATTATATAAAACGTATGTAAATGTCTCTCCATTGGGCTGGGGTTCGCATTCTCCCCGCGGCCGCGCGCCGGGGGGGAGGCCAGCGGGCAGGCGGCCCTCACCCTGCCTGGCACGCGCAGAGACCCCAGCCCCTCTGTGTGGGCAGGGTGCTGTCAAGACCAGACCTCGGGGGGGGCGGGGGGTGGGGGGCTCTTGGAAGGGAAGAAGTATCACTTCTTTCTCAAGTGGAGTGTTTACACCTTGCTGTAACATTTGAACTTTCACAAGAGATGTAATAATTTTGATAATAAAATTCTTAACCATAATAATCATAAGTTGAGAACTCCTTTGTCCGATTCTGTGACACTGCCTTGCTTAGTTTTCCTGAAGCTATCCTTAAAGGGAGCAAGATGGACCCACATTCAGGGGAGTGTGCTCTTGGTGGAGGTGCGTTGCCCATAATGGGGCCAGGAATACAGATTGATCTTCCTTCACCATTTTATGAGTAAGATCAGGCAATAAGGGGGACTTCTCTGGTGGTCCAGTGGGTAAGAATCTACCTTCCAGTGCAGAGGACCCAAGTTCAGTACCTGGTTGGGGAACTAAGATCCAGCATGCTGTGGTCAACTGGCGAGCCCTCACACTACCACTAGAGAAGCCAGCACGCTGCAGTGAAGAGCCCGCGTGCCGCAACGAAGACCCAGCATGGCCCAGAAACACGTCAGGCAGGAATCGTGTACTACAGAGTTGCTGTGTGCTAAACTGTATATAAGGTGCTGGGAATGTGAAAATCAGACGGCCACCTGCTCCATTCCTGGCTGCTTTGCTCTCGGTGTGATACAGATGTTAGAATCTGAACTGTGGTAAAGAAATAAGCACGTGCACGTCGTATACAACTTCATAGTTAACCAGGCTCTTCCACTTAAGTCATTTGCTATCTCATTGATCCTTAAAATGTATAAGGTAGGTATATTATCTCCTATGATTTTTTTTTTAAAAAGTTCAAAAGAAAAAAAGGGGCCTAAGATTTCTCTCATCCAAATGACAGTTTCAAACTGACAGTCTTGGAAATTTTGCAGTTTACCCAGGAAACAAATAAAGATGCTTTGAAACTAACTAAAAGAAACTAACTTTCTTGCCTTAAAAATAACAGTCCAGCCTTTTTAGCTCTGAGGAATCATTTTTATGGTACAGGGTTCTCTCTTTGACAGAGCTCACCGTGAAGAAAAAAGTGCACTATTGTCCAAATGGACTGTATTTACTTCAAAACCACACCAACTATCAGTTATCAACCAGAGCTGGAACAGCCTTCGTAACCTGCTATGAGGCTGAGACAGAAAGGTTCCTGTGCTGAAGATCAGTAAAGGAAAGGGCTTGGAGATAAGCATAGCTCCTGAAGGAGATGCCGTTCCCTGCTCCTACACTCAAAACTTAACTCTGGGAAGATAATAGTTTGAATATTTCTCAAGTACTCCAGAAAAGCACACAGGGCAGTCATGATAGCAAAACAGAACCTTGGACAACTTTATATTATAGGAAGCCTAAATGTCCCCATCAGCCACAAAACAAAGAAAGCACAAGACTTTCCTGTTACCATGTTCTTTTCCAGAGGAAGCAGTGGCAGGTCTGTTGCATCTCAGAACTCCAAATGAACACTCACTCGGAAGCTCAGCAAGGAAGTGTGAGGACAGCAGGCAACCTAGGCTGGGTTTGCAGTGTGTACAGAGGGTGTGGGGTTAAGTCTGAAGGTGCGTTCGCAGTCTGGGCCCAAGAAAATTCTAAACAGAATTTTGCAGGGGTGAAGGATGATGTTAAATGAAGTATTTTGAATGAGTAAAACTAGGATTGTCTGTAAAGGTGTTAAATAACTTTACTTTGTTTTTAACTCCTGAGAGAAACAGTTGGCATAAAGCTAATCAAGACAGTCTGGCATTGAAATAAGAATAGACAAATAGGTCAGTGGAACAGAATATAGCACTCAGAAACAAACCCACACAAATACTTGACCAGCAAGGGCAATACAATAGAGAAAAGACAGGCTTCAACTAATGGGGCTTGAACAACTGGACATCCATATGCAAGAAAAGTGAATCTAGACTCAAACCTTACACACTTCACAAAAATTAACTCAAAATGGATCACAGACCTAAACATAAAAAGGGAAACTGTTAAACAAACCTAGATGATAACAGTCTATAAAGCATAACACCAATACCACCATCCTTGAAACAAGTAACTGATAAGCTGAACTTGATTAAAATTAACATCTGTTCTGCAAAAGACTGTCAAGAGAAGAAAAGCCACATACTGGGAGAAAATACTTGGAGAAGACACCTCTAATTAAAGGACTGTTACCCAACATACAAAAAGTAAGCAGACAATCTTCAGATTCAGTATAATCCTGACCAAAATTCCAGTGGCATTTTTCACAGAAATAGACAATCCTAAAATACGTATGGAACCACAGAATACCCTGAATAGCCAAAGCAATTTCAAGAAAGAACAAAGCTGGAGGCCAGTTTCACGCTTCCTGATTTCAAACTATACTACAAAGGTATGGTGATTACAGCAGTGTGGTACTGGCATAAAAACAAACACAGATGCATGGAATGGGACAGAGAACCCCAAAAATAAACCTGTGCACGTATGATTCATTAATTTATGACAGAAGGGCCCAGAATAAATAGGGAAAAGAGTCTCTTCATTAAGTGAGAAACCAGGACAGCCACATTTAAAAGAATAAAATGGGATAGCTATCTTACACCATGTTCAAAAATTTACTCATAATGGAGTAAAGACTCAAATGTCAGAACTGAAACGATAAAACTCCTCGAAGGAAACCTAAGGCAGTATGCTCCTTGCCATTGGACTTGGTGATGGTTTTTCGGATTTGACACCACAAGCAAAAGCAACAAAAGCCAGAGTAAACGAGACCTCATCAGACTAAAAAGCCTCTGCACAAGCAAAAGAAAGGAAATCATGGACAAAATGAATGGGAGAAGATATTTGCAAATCATAACTCAAACATAAAAAGTTGAAATTAAAAAATGACCAGAAGATCTGTAAATACATTTTTCCAAATAAGACATACAGATGGCAAACAGGTACATAAAAGATGCTTCACATTACTAAGCACCAGGGAAATGCAAATCAAAAACTACAATAATGTATCACTTCACACTTATTAGCATGGCTGTTATCAAAAAGACAAATCAGTTTTAGGATCTGGAGAAAAGTGAACCTATGTGCACTTTTGGTGGGGGTGTAAATTGGTACAGGCTTTATGGAAACCAGTATGGATGTTCCTCAAAAAATTAAAAATAGAACTACCATACAATCCAGCAATTCCACTGGTGGATGTTTATCTGAAGAAAACAAAAACAGTAACCCAAAAAGACATTTGCACTGCCAAGTTCACTTCAGCATTATTTACAGTAGCCAAGATACAGAAACAACCTATGTGTCCTTTAGTGGATGAATAAAATGTATATTGACAAGGTCAGCCATAAGCAAAAAATGAGATCTTGCCATTTGCAACAACACAGATGTTCCTTGAGAGCATTATGCTAAGTGAAATAAAACCAGATACCATATGGTCTCACTTTATATGGGTAATCTTAAAATGAAGTCATGAATACAGAGAACAGATTGGTAGTTGGTTGCCAGAGGTTGAGGATAGGAGTAGGTAAAATGGGTGAAGGTGATAAAAAGGTCAATCTTAGACTTTATTAAATCAGTCTTAGGGATGTAACTACAGTGTGATGACTGTAGTTAATAATGCTGTATTTGCCAGTCACTAAGGGAATAGATCTTAAAAGTTCTTATCACAAGAAAACAATTTTGTAGCTGTGATGATGGGTGTTGATTAGACATTGTGGTGATCATTTCATAATGTATACATACATTGTTATTTATAAGAAACTAATACGTTGATGATAACCTCAGTTTTTTTTGTTTTTTTAAATTAGAAGTTGAGGACAGTATGACGGCAAATCTACATAGCCTTCACATTGTAGGTCCAGCCTACACTTCTAGCTATATTTCACTTAAATTAATTTTTATGTCAACTAATATGACTACTAGCTTCTTTATGGTCAAGATTTTACTATGTTTATAGAGTTTTGCATACAGGTTGTGCTTAACTCTTTGAGAAATTGACAGAAGGGAAGTGAGAAGGAATAGCACTTTTTTGAGAAATAAATGGATTTTCCTAATTAGAAGATCCAGTAGACAAAGTTGAGGTCATGAAGTATAACTTGAGAAAAATTGTTACCTGGAGAAACTTGGAAAACAGAAATGGTGGTAAGGGAAGGAGTAGTGTTTAATTTATTGCAAGGGCTTAGGAAGTCAGTCAGGCATGTTGGTTTTTAAAGACTCTTATTTCAAGATGTGGATACATTTTCAGGTCCAACGGTATTGATACCCACCAGTAGGTATATAGTCTACTAGAGCTCTTCAGTTCCAATAAAACTCTATTTAGGGTTACCTGGAGAATGCTTTCTTATCATATCATAAAGAAAACAGCCTTATTTTTAAATGGGCAAAAGACCTTGAACAGACAATGTACAAATGGCCAAGGAGCATGTGAAAAGATGTTCAGCAGCACATGTCACTAGGAAACTGCAGGTTGAAACAACAGTGTGATGTCATTACCTATTAGAATGACCAAAAGCCAAAACAGTGACACTGTCACCTGTTGATGAGGATGTAAGGCAACAGGAAGTCTCATTCACTGCTGGTGGGAGTGCAAACGGATGCAACCACTTTAGGAAATAGTCTGGTAGTTTCTTAAAATATAAACATGCTGTACTCTACTGCACAGTGCAGCAGTCGTGATTCTTTGTGTTTACCCTATGAAGGTGAAAATGTATGTCCACACAAAAGCCTGCACCTAGATGTTTATAGCAGCTTTATTGATAATTGTCAAATCTTGGAAGCAACCAAGATGTCCTTCAGTAGGTGAATGGGTAAATAAACTGGTATTTCTGAAAAGTGGATTATTACTCAGCACTAAAATGAAACAAATTATCAAGCCATAAAAAAAATGGAGAAACGTTTAATATGTATTACTAGTAGAGAAAGAAAACCAGTCCGGAAAGGCTACATACTGGGTGAGTCCAGTGATAATGCAGAATTGTAGAAACGGTAACAAAATCAGTTGAAGGGACAGGAGGAGGAGTGGGCAGAACACAGTATTTTTACGGTGGTGAAACTATTTTGTATAATACTGTAATGAGAGATACATGTAGTTTTACATTTGCCCAAATCCACAGAAGGTAAACTCTAATGTAAACTATGGACTTTGGGTGAAAATGGTGTGTCAGTGTAG